GACAATATTATAATACATTTTTGAACTCTTTTGGATTAATTTCTTTTTCCTAATTTTTTATAAAGTTAATTTTAATATTTAAAAGTATTTAACATTTTAAATTCTGAAAGGTTTTCTCTAATAGAAAATTTAAAAACATAATATAAAAAAAATAGTTAATGTAAGTTTTAATTATGATCGGTCATAACCGCATTCTGACCGATCATAATTGAAACCATATAATAGCGGTTTCAGCTTAACCGCTATCTAAGTGAGCTTTTAAGAGCGGTTCCCTTCTAACCGCTATCTAAAATGTATTTCGCTTGAGCGAAAAATTCTAGCTCGAGCGAAACGCCCCTGCACAAAAGTGGCATTCTCGGGTTGTATTTAGCTTGAGCGACTCTAATCTCGCTCGAGCGATGGTGCAACCGCTGTTAGTAAAGATATGTAAAGATATGTAAAAATATAAACATATAAATATATATAAAAATATGTAAAGATATAAACATATATCTTTAATATTTTGTAAATGTAAATATAATTTATATATATTTTTAAATCTTTTTCTAATATTTATTTTTAAAAATATAATATTATTTTTAAAATTTAATATTTTTTTTTCAAATATATAAATATATAAAGATATAAATGTATAAGGATATAAATAAATATATAAATATATAAATATATAAATATATCAAAATATAAATATATAAAAATATAAAAATATAAATATATAAATATATAAATATATTAATATATTAATATATAAATATATCAATATATATAATATATATATATATATACAAATATATCAATATATCAATATTATCCCCTCATATATTAATATACATTATTAGCATAATTTTAATTTAATTAAAAATTAGAATACAAATATACTATATTATACTAATATACCATTATATTATTTTCATTGTATATAAATTACAAAATTAATAATTTGTATACTATACTATACTAATATATTATTTGTATACTATACTAATAGTATAATATACTATATTATAATATTATTTGTATAGAAAACTAATATATTTATATATAAATATGAAGATATAAATATATAAAAATATAAATATATGTAAAAATATATAAAGATATAAATATATCAATATATAAATATATCAATATTTAAATATATATTAAAATATATAAATATATTTTTATTTATAAATTTTATATTTATATATTTGTACGGATATACATTTATTTGTATATAAATATAATTTATTTGTAAGTTATTATTAAAAGATCCTAGTAGCTCGGTGGTTGGAGTTTCAGCCTCCAACTCTAAGGTACTGGGTTCGAATCTCGACAATGACAATAAACCACCTAATAATAAGTTAAACTTCTAAAAAATATAATATCATTAAGAGATAGGGAAAATAAATAATAGATATAATAAAAATGTAAATAATTAACTTTTTCATTGATTCGATGGACCGATTTGGTCGGTCACTGAATCGGTTACTAAAATCAGTGACCAAGGAAATAGTGACCGATTCCAGTTGGTCACTATTTCGGTCACTATTTTAATTAGTAACCGATTTTGCACATTTAGTGACCGAATTTTCGGTCACTATTTGATGTTTTTCTTGTAGTGGATGGATGTAAATAACTTTTACTCGAAGACATTAAATTCTGAGGAAAATGATCATGTTGAAGACATCCCCAATGTTATTGAAGAAGATCTTAGAGACTGTCCAAGGATGTTTGAGCGATTGAAAGATGATGCACAAACACCATTGTACTCAGGATGCCCAAATTTCACAAGACTGAGTGTCGTTTTGAAGCTCTACAATTTAAAAGCCTCACATGGATGGAGTGATAAGGGTTTTACAGATCTGTTAAGCTTAATAAATGACATGCTACCAGAAGACAATGTCCTACCTAGGAGAACATATGATGCAAAGAAAATCCTTGGTTCCATTGGTTTAACTCATGAAAAGATCCATGCATGTCCTAATGACTGTATTTTGTTTCGAAACGAGTATGAATCATTTACAGAATGTCCAAAGTGTAAGGTGTCACGATATGTCAAGAAAAAATCTACACCAGTTAAGGTTATGTGGTATTTTCCAATTATACCAAGGTTGAGAAGGTTTTTCCGCAGTCCTGAAACTGCAAAGCAGTTTAGTTGGCATTCCGAAGGTAGGATTATAGATGGTAAGCTTAGGCATCCAGCAGATTCTCCTCAATGGAAAAGATTTGATGATGAATATGAAGACTTTGCAGCTGAAACAAGAAATATACGTTTTGCCTTAGCAACTGATGGAATGAATCCTCATAGAATGCAAAGTAGCACACATAGTACATGACCGGTGATTCTAATTATGCATATTATTAAAGGTTTTTTTATATATCATACTAGTGAAGTTGTCCTCTAAGTAAAGAGCTACAAAGATAATATTTCTCCTTACTATAAGAAAAATAATCACTTGTAAGTGTTGGTAAGGCCATATGTAAAATACTGCAAATATGATTAATTGGGACATATAAAAAAAATATGCAAAACATAACAAGAAGAAATAATGAACGTTATAGAAAACAAAGTAAAAGATGAATTTCTCCTTGCAACTAGGGTTGTCAAAACGGGCGGCTCAGCCTGGCCTGACCCTACGGATCAAGTAACAAAAAATTAATGACTCAGTCTGGCTTATATTTTAAAATGGACCAAAAATTTTGGTCTAGTATGGTCTTATGTTAGGCTAACGGGTTAACAGGTCATTTTTTGCCTAATTAAAAATAAATTCTTTATTCATATAATTTTTTTTAATTTTGTTTGAAAAAAAATGTCATTTATTTGTTTATTTAAAATTAACTCAACCTATTTAGGTAAAACAAAATTAAATGTATAAAATCATAAAAATGAGAATGTAGCTTTGACTTAATATCCTAACGAAATATTAAATAACACATCTTTTAGTTTTCTTCTTTTCAGTTAAATACGGGTTATAAACATATGTAATTGAAGTGTTTCTATTGGTTTGAAATATCCTACCACCAATATTAGATAACGCATTTTTTAGCCTTTTTTTTGTTAAATATACGTTATAAATCGTAATTGACGTATTTCTAGCAATTGATTTAAAATTAGGATTCAAAACTTTATTTACCTCCCAAACTCCCTCATACTCAACATAGCTAAATTGAAGATCATGCTTAATAATGCATTTAGCAAGTACATTTCGTAAATTTTAGAGTCAAATTTTTATTACTTCAACAAGTTAGCAACATAACTCCCACATCATAATATTTCGAAAATACACTACATTTAAGAATATGTCGTCTTAAATTATCCTTAAAAACAAATGTGACGACAGCAATAAAGAAAAAGAAGATGATCAAATCAAATCAAGATTATGTTTATAGTTTATTATTCTTTCTAAATTATATATATGTATATGTATAACAAAATATATCAAATTAATTTATTATACATATATTTTCTAATAAAATAATATTACTTTTATTTTATTGGTAAAATAGTTATTATTTTATAAAATGGGTCAGACCATAATCTTACGAACTAGCCTAGCCTAAATAGGTCGAGTCAAAATTTGTCTGATTCTATTTAAATCATAAATTTTTTTGTCTAGTCTAACCTATTTTTCAAGTCTTTCGAGTTTGTCCATTGGGTTAAACCTATTTTGACAGTCCTACTTGCACCAACATGTTTTACAATAAACAAATATACAACTTGACTTATAGATAATGTTTGTACAAACCACATTATTCATGGTCAAGAATTTTTCCAAAAACCTTAACAGATATGTGATTTCTAAAGGAAAAATTAACAATAAAAACAAATAGACGTGAAAGGTATAAAAAAAATTATAATTAAAAGTTTAAGTGTCAAATTAATTTTTTGATGTCTTATATGATATCAATCAAAATTAAGTATTACAATATGGTTACAGTAAAAGTTTTAAAGTGTCCTTTAAATACAAATTTTCTATGATTAAATATACAAATAACTTGAAAATATTCAAAGTTTACATGAAATGAAAACTTGATATCAATGACGAGAATTAAAATGTATATGCAAAACCACTTTACAAATGTTCATCAAATATTTAATATTAATACTATGAAATCCACCAAAAATAAAGTAGATGAAATTGATAAAGAAAAAAGATACAAAAGTGAAATTGAACTAGGTGATCTCATATAAAAAATAGAATAAAATATCAAATATCAAATTTAAATAAAAAAATATTAACAATAAATATTTTATTATTTATTATTTTTATTAAATTTTAGAATAAAAAATATTATGTTATTATATTTTAATTATAATAATACTTCAATAAAATGTAGGAATTATGAGTAGGGATGACAATTAAACTCGTACCCTCTGGGACCGATCCGTCTCCGTCCCAAGTTTGACGGCGAAAAGCAGAGGTGACCGAGGGCGGGAACAAGTTCGGGTTTTCTCGCTTTAAAAAATCGGGGACGAGGTGAGAATGAGTAATGCAATCCCCACATCGTCTCGTCCATGTCCCCGCTTCAACTTTATATTTAAATTTAAATTTTAAAATATTAATATTTTAAAATTATTTCTTTTTTCCATTATATATAAGGTAATTTTTTATATTTTACCTTTATTATTTTTCTTCTGTCCATTTTTTAATTCTTTTGTCTTTTTTAATCTTTTATATAAATTAGTTCATTACATTATTTTATTTCTCTTGTCTTTCACTTTTTCACATTTCCTTAATCTCTCGAATCAATTTGTTTTTTCAATCTTTTCAATTGAAAAACACAGGTAATTTTTTTTATTCTTTATTTTTTTTTAATATATTACATAATTATTAATAATAACTAATATTATTTTATTTATAATTTATTTTTATTAAATTTTATTATTTCATATTTTTTAAATCTTATTATTTTTATTTATCATGTATCAAATGTTATCTTAACATATATCTTGTATAAAAATAAAATAAAAAATACATATGCAAAACCCTTTAAAATCCCTACTTGTTCCTTGACAATTACGTATCCCAACTGTAGCCGTATCTCTTCACTTGAACACCAAAACCTTGTCTATCTTTTACATCAATTTCCAATTTCGACCCTTCCATCGGTGCAAGGACGTAGAACAACAACATGTGATCTGAGTTGTCCGTGACAAGATCTTCATCTATATCCAGGGGAATTTCTAAAACAAAATAACCATTACTTGCACTTTTTTGAGGATCCATCCATAAAATTCTTTCCCTACTGGAGCAAGCTGGGAATACTACACAACAACCAACGTTGCAATTGCCAGCACAATTCTCAAGAAGAAGCGAATCTATGGTTATTAAACTGCCCATGCCCACATGTTGATTGCGAAACCACCTTGGTATTTCACTTCCTGGAATAATAGTTGAAATCAATGGAGGCCATATTTGGTAGCTACTACTCTCGCAAATGCATTGTTGGAGCGCCTACATAAACACAGCTATATGTTATTTCCTTGTTCCTGCACCCACGAAGAAGAGAAGAGAAAGAGATCAGAAGGAAGGAGCATGCACGCACCTCAATAATTTGTATCGTCCATGAAAATCCCTTGTTTGTGCAGAGTTCCCTCTCAACTAATCCTGGGCAGTTGAAAACATATAATCCTGCTTTAATTGAACAAATATAACTAGGTAGTGATGACAACTCAGTTCGTGAAGGGAGTTCACACAAATATTTTAACAGTTTGCAATGCTGTATGTTTAGATAATACAGTTTGGAAAGCTCCTTGAGGCTGGGCAGTGTAGCGAAATTGTTCCCGCTTACATCTAACCTTTCTAAGCAATGTAAGTTTCCAATAGCATCAGGGATTTGAAGTAGATTGCAGAAACTTAGATAAAGTTCACGCATATGTGGGAAGCCAAGTGAGAAAGGCAATAGAACAGTAGATGTATCTTTACGAGCTCTGGAATACAACAAATTTAAAGGCCACATTTTGACGAATGAGAATGATGATTGGGAATTAGCAGGAGCTTCACCTTCACAATGCTTCCTTAAAAGCTCGTCTCTTGGTTCATCTAATAACTTGTTAATAAACAGTTTCGAACAACCCGAGATACTCAGATATTCAAGAGATTTGAGGTCCAATAAACTGTTGGGTAAGCTTACTAGATTTTTGCAGTCTTTCAAGTTCAAAAATGTAAGCTTCTTTAGAAGACCAATGGATGGATCGATCTGCCTAAGTTTGGTACATCCTCGGAGATTCAGGATTTCAATATTTATGGTCTCTCCAAAACGGGGTAACATGGCAAGATTTTTGCAACCTTCCAAATTCAAATCAGTAAGCTTCTTTAGAAGACCAATGGATGGATCGATCTGCCTAAGTTTGGTACATCCTCGGAGATTCAGGATTTCAATATTTATGGTCTCTCCAAAACGGGGTAACATGGCAAGATTTTTGCAACCTTCCAAATTCAAATCAGTAAGCTTCTTTAGAAGACCAATGGATGGATGGATCTCCCTAAGTTTGGTACATCCGTTGAGATTCAGCTTTTCAAGTTTTATTGCCTTAATCACATTTGGAATTTCCATTAGATTTTGAGAATAGGAGAGAGTCAAACGTCTCAAGTTATGTAGAGGCTGCAATGAAGGGCCAAGAATACAAGACAAAATTAATAGTGACCGTTAGACTTTCTTTTGTTTCTTTAATTAATCAGGGCAAAAGAAAATAATGTAAGAAAGTATATCTTTTTTTAATTATTCAGGGCCAACCTACATTTAAAAAGAATAATAATTTACACTACCTTTGTGTCTTTCCATAATTGTTTCATGTCACTGCCAATGAGCGACAACTCGACAAGTTTTTCCGGCTGAAAACTTGGAGGCAAACAATCAAAAGGATAGTTTATCCACCTAAGATATCCTAGCTCATTCGAAAGATGATTGAGGTTTCCAGAAAAATTCACGTCCGTCAGGTCAAGCAACTGAAGATAACTCATTTTGGATAGTGCGTCAGCCCTTACTGTTGCTTTATGAAACTCTGATGTCTCATTTCGAACCACTATGGCTTCAAGATTTTCTGCAGCCTACACCATCGCAAACAAGAATGAAATTTTTAGCTCTTTTGAAGTATTACCTATCGCAGAAAGATGACAACGGATGATTTTATATTCTAACTACTTTACCATATTGTCGGACATAACTTTGTGGAGATCTTTGTAATCCCACAACCTACACCTCTTTCTAGGCTCTTTAGGTGCCTTATCTCGAACAATACACCTGCCCAAGTCTACCAACAACATATGCATCTCAATTAAAATATGGTTCCCATAACGCCCATATTTAATGAGTGATTTATCAATGAGAACTTGTAGACCATATTCAGGATGAAATCCTCGAAATTCTAGAACTTCCTTCACATATTCCACTTCTCCATAATTCAAAAAGCAAGCAATGTCTAAAAATGTTTCCTTTTCCGTATCATCCAGCTGATCAAAACTTACTCGCAACACATCCATTATATCTTTACTTTTGTTTTCCCTTAGCCTAATCAATGCACTTCTCCACTGTGAGACACTTCGACCAAACAAAGAAGAGCCCAATACTTCAATTGCTAAGGGATGGCCTTGACAATGTAACATTATAACATCTGTAAACTCTTCATATCCACTCTTTACATAATTACTCTTGAAAGCATTTTGATAAAACAGTCGAACAGCATCTGTGTCATTCAATGGCTGAACTTGGTAAACATCATCTACTCCATGTGTTCTCAATATATGTTCATCCCTAGAAATTATGATGATTCTGCTCCCTCCACCCAAGCTTTCACCTAACAGATTCCCTCTACTCCCTGTAAATATCTTTAGTTGTCCTACATGATCCACGTTATCTAGAACAATAAGAGCCCTACCATTCCGTACCCTACTCCATACCAAAGATGTTCCCTCGGAAACATTGAAAATTTCTAAATTTTTTTCATTTAGACATTGATAAAGTAACTGCTTTTGTACTCCTAATGTACCACAATCTTGATAAAGTTTGCTTACATCATCAATAAAACAACAAAAATCAAATTTATGAGAGATTCTTTCATATAAAGCACGAACCAGAGTTGTCTTTCCTATACCACCCATTCCACTAATTCCAGCAGCACGAACATCATTAAGAGACTCCAAACATAAACGTTTTGATAATACCTCGACACTAGATTCTATCCCAACTAGATTATCATTTGGAAGACATGAAAATTTATGACCCAAGATATTTCTTATTTTCTCAGCAATCTCTTCAATCTCTGTATATTGTGGCCTGAAATAAAGGAAGAATATAGAATGACAAATCATCATGACGAGAATCAAAACAAAATGCATATGTATAGTACATCATAATAAAAGAGTACTCCAGTTTAAAGAGATAGTAAATTAAAAATACACATGAGTAAGAAATGATGAACTACAAGCACGTGCAGACAACAAAGTGCATACGTACATAGTAAATTAAGATCCATGGTGAAACGTTAGAGGATTACGTACTTGTTTCGGATATCCCAGCCAGAGTGATTGGCCACTCGTGTGAGAGCTTCTCTCCATCTCTGAATTTCCTCCATCAACAACTTTTCTTCTCTGAATCTTTCTTCATGATCAGAAAAGGCTTTCTCAAAATATCCACTTTGTTTTCGAACATCTGACGGATCCACATCATAAAAAATAGGCAGAACATGTCTTCCTGGTGTTTCAATGCAATTGCAGATGTGCGCAAGTTCACGCAAGCACCACTTTGAGGAAGCATAGTTCTTTGAGAAGACCACAACGTAAATACGAGACCCTTCAATGGCTTGCAACAGCTCGGGTGCTATGAATTCCCCTTTCTTGAGATGTGTATCATCTTTGAAGACATCAATCCCCATTTTACCAAGAGCTTCGAAGAGAAATCCAGTGAAGTTATTGCGAGTGTCTTCACCTCGGAAGCTCACAAAGACGTCGTATGTTGGTATGAGGTGAGATGAAGAGGAGTTGCAGTGGATGATGGCGTTAGAAGCCATTGTAATTACAAAAGGAAAGGAAAGCCGCAGAGAATGATGGGTGTGAAGGTGCAAAGAAAAGGAAAGTGTTCGTGAGTACAAAGAAAGAGAAGGGAAGTAAAGAAGTATATGGTTTGGGAATTGATACTGTGAATGAAGATGAAGGGAAAGCTCCTACCACTTTCCACTTAGCTTGGACGAAATTAAGACGCCATTTTTCTCACTTGTCCACTTTCCTTGAACTACCTAATTTTTCCATCTTAAAGACAAGGAAAAAGATTGATTGAAAACTTTTGTTGTCTATAGATAATTATTAGACAACTTGATTAAATAATATACTATTCAGTTTTAATTACTTTTTATATTTTTGTAATTATTATATTAATGTAAGATATGTTTTGTTTGAGAGCAGTTGATCATGCCACGTGAATTTATACTATTAGCTCACATGGAATCTGTTAGAATTTTAGATATCACTGGTATCTTCTTCTTAAGGTGATGAAAGAGATGAAAATTTCATCTTGATTTTGCAAGAATTATAATTTCGTATCAGAGTGGAGGTAACGAAGGACAAGGGTTTCTGAATGCAAGCACAGTATGGTCAACAATGAAATACACATAAAACCATTTTATATTTTCATTCTCTCATTTCTAATATAAAAATTACAGTAAATAAGTACAAGCTTGACGTTTTCATGGAAGCTTCCCCCACTGAGCTTTAAAGACTCACTTCTATTATTACTCTTTGGTGCAGTCAAGTTTGACTTTCTTTCTGGTTGTCCTTTATTTTCATTATTACTTTTTGGGCATTCATGTGAAGTGAAATCCAAAACATTTGAAATCACAGTATAATGTCAGGTGAAATCCTGTAAGTAGTGTTGTTATGTGGTAGTGGTATAGGAATCAAACTTGCTAAAATTAGAGGAAAAAAAACGAATAGAGCAAAAGAAAACAAATAAAGCTGCTAATTGTAAGCATTAAACTGCATCAATGTTCCATATGATCCCAGAAAATTTAGCATGTATATTATCCCAAAATGGATTACAAGAAGGGACAGAGTAGGTATTGTTCACTCCAAAGGTTAGCACCCAGAAAGTTCTTTCCTTTTATATATAGGTTTATGTATATTTTATATTTCTAATATTTTTTGTTTTTAGTAAATTGTGTTTGAGAAAAAGTAAATTATTTTTTAAAATATTTAGAAGTAAAATAATATTAAATTACATTGACATTGTCATAAATATAAATATTATATCAATGAGATAACATAAAAATATGAAATATAAAATTTTAAATTATATATACATGTCAATGTTAGATCATTATTTTATTATTTTAATAAATAAAAAGCAAGTTATTAGTTATACTATAAGCAGACAAAATAAACAACATTATTAACAATAATACTAACCTAAGTCACTATTGACCTATAACATATGTCTACTTGTTAAACCCTTCATGATAGAAATTAAAAGGATAATTTTTTTCTCATTTAAATAACAAATAATGATATACAGTATATTATAAATGAAAAATATAAATAAATTTATGGTCAAATTTTAGGTTGAAGGAAGATAATCTTCTATTCCTAATGTGAACACTCTGAAAAAAAAAACCCAACAATTCCATTCCTTTTTCTGCTCTGCAATACTGTTTGAGTGGGTCCGATTTACTTTATCATATTTATTCTTCCACCATTGTTTTCTTAGAAGGTCAAACGTGGAAATGTAATTGTAGTGGTCACATCCTCATAAAAGATACACTTTATCTTGGAAGAATAATTGTGGTGTTCACATCTGGTTAAAGAATACTTTATTTTGGAAGAAGAATATTGTTTTGTGCTGGAAAAATATAATTATTTTTCATTTAGTTACTTTGACATTGACAGTGAAAATTGAAGGGTGAATCCAAACACAACTTCCGTCAGCAGAATAATATTATCAACACCACTGCAATGTACAAATATGTAAAGTGTGCTATTAAGCCTGTATGTTTTCACTTAAATTTAGTTTGGTCTAATACTAGGATTCAATAGATTAGATAACAAAAAAGCTTTAATTATATACTTAATAAATATATGACAGAAGAGTATCTTGATTCACTTTTAAAATATGAAGAAAGAAATTATTTTCTTTAGAAGACAGTTGACTAAATGCAAAATAAATTCATTCTTCTCAATAATATTATTAAAGTAAATTGTATATTATATTTAGTCAATTCAATAATAAATATAACAAGTAAGAATAAATTTGTTATACAATTTCTTAATTTACAAGTATGAATTTCTTAATTTAAACAATAATAATTGTTAATAAGAATTTTTAATGATATAGTTCAATTAATAACAAACTATATTTATTTAGTATAATAACTACATACACAAGTTAGTGAAGAGATGAACAATTTTATATATTTATTGACTTGGTATATTATACTATCATTTATTAGAATGTTTTTAAAATATGATTATTTCGAATTAATTAATCGTTTTTTATTTGCTTGCATGTTTATTAAAAAAACTAAATAGACATTGCACTATTATTTTCTTTTTAAATAACACATCAAGATCAATATAATTATATCTTACATATCATTAAATATTAAAAAAAAATCTGCAAATTTTAACGAAACTACAATATTAAAACATTTTTACAATCATCTATAAAGTCACTATTTTGATCATTTGCAGTAGTAGGCCATCCCAGCAAATCAAAAGCATGTGAATGAATTACATATAATATACTTCAATGAACTCTACAGAAAAAGGTATCTTTGTTAAGATCACACAAGTTTGAATAATGTGAAAGTAAACAACAAGAAGTTTAAGAAAGATATTTATCTTGAACTAATAGAGGCACCTTTACAAGATGCAAATGAAATGATATTAGTATCTGGGATACAAGCCTACACACGAGACACTAAAACTACCATTTAGCCAGGCTATGGTATATTCTTTTGTAAATCATGTAGGGCAAGCCTCAATCAACATTTTCAATGATGACCAATGACCTAGTTATCAGAGTAGAGTACTTTCTAATGACAAAAAAAAAGGGGGACAGTAAGTGAGGCCATTGTAGGATGTATAATTAAGCAAAAAATGGATACATCATATCAGGTGCATCACTCTTCTGAAGCACATTTCTAAAGCCACACAACATGGGCATCTCCCTTTCCCCTTCACGTATCACTGGAATTAGTATTCTGGTCATGCTCTTTTCTTTCTTTCCTTTTAACTCGCTTTTTCTTCTTTACTACATAACCAACACCACCATATGTTTCTTGACATGCTATGATGATAGAACGAACCTCGGCATCGTCTCGTGGAATTTTCTTAAGCATATGGTAAGCAGATCTAGCATCTCCTGCTGCCAAAAGTGCCTGATACATTCTACAGACATGCCATGGAAATAATTAAAAGCCACAACCATAAGAAAAATATATAAACTAAATCGGGATTTATGGGGAGGATGCTAACAACTCACCGCAAGTAACTTAATACATTGTAAGGAAACCCAGCAATCTCGTACTCTCCCCAGATCATGCGGGCACTGTTCAAATATCCGGCATTGACACAAGCACTTAGAAGAAAATCAAGACATTGCCGTGACGGCATAAGGCCAAGCTCATCCTTGATTGTCCGAAGCAAGTCCAGGCCAATCTGTAAATGAGTGGACTCAGATGTTGCAATTTCATAAAATACCTACACAGACACACAGTTGATATCAGTAAGACACTTGCAAGTGGGACTAATTGCAACAAAGAGGGTGAAACATGACTAAATTTTGACAATTCCATCTATAACAAATTTTTCATAGTCGCCCAGAAAGAGTTTCAAACATAAACACAAATTGTATCAGTATCCCCAGCATAATATTGTAAGTTGATAGAAGTTAACTACGAGGGAACTAAAAACTCACCGTGTCAAAAAGGCCTTCCATTACCATTTCATCATTTTCAAACTTATCCTTTAGTTGTTTGAACAAAAGAATAGCAGAACTGACCCATAAAAATCAGAATCTGAGATAAGCAACTTGCAGAATACAACTTCAAAACACTCAAATTCAATACTGGATGGGTAAAAAACATCAAACCTTATATTGTTGTTCCATGTACAGTACTTGATGACCTTGAAGCAGCCATCAACCCAATAGTCTAGATCACTCACTTCCTTTAGTAGAAGTAGCAGTCTATCTACCTCCTCATTGTGTTGAGCCAACACTTCCTAAGAATGTCCAGTAATTAATTATAAAGTTCAAGGTAGATGATATAAAAATCACTAATGCAAAACCTTACAATCAGAACTATTGCGGCTTTTGGCTCCAAATTATGTCCACATTTCTTAATCTGTTCATAGACAAGAAGAGCCTCGGACAATTGCCCATGTGATGCAAGAGCTGAGACAAGAACACTCTTGATTTCATTTAAGCTCTGGTTTGGTATTTTTGGATCCAAAACTACCTGCAACATGAAATACAAGTTATGCTCTAACACTATATTGAAGAAAGAGGTGATATACAAAGTCACTCCAAAAGGGGGGATTGTAGAAAAGTATGGATTTTAGTATTTACTTAGCAAAAGCTGATTTTATATTTTTTAATTTTAGGTGTATAACAAATATGTAAAATAACACTTGTTATATGCTGCCACTTTAGAAATAGGAAAGGAACTTAATGTTGGATTCGACCTATGACAATCTCAAAAGCTAGTTTATGAGGTGAGAATTGCCCCCAAACCGTTATAAGATACACTTCGGTCATATATGTAATCAATGTAGGATCTCTAGACGTGTCCCTATGCTTAGGAATGAGAATTTGAAGCATGTAGATTATCAGAAGGGCTTCTTTACATTGCATTAGGAAAACTGCAGAGCTAGGTAGATTACACTAGGAGAAAGCTGTGAGGGTGGTCAAAATACCAGCTCTATTATACCGTACGTTTAACACCACTTATATTTGAGTTGGATTAAACTAAACCCCAAACAGGATTAAGGATTGCTTAAGCCGCATAAGCTCTACTTCTCTCATATTTATAGTCAATGAGGTATCTCAACAAAGGGCATGCAGAGTAATTATCCAGAATCAATTATATAAAGAATGTGTAAAATAAGAGAGATTCTATTATACTTATAGCTACAGCTGGTATTATAAAACTAAAGTAGAACCAAAGTTGGCAAAAATAGAAATGAAACAATCCCATACTATTTATGATTAGTAAGGTCAAATTAGTTAGATAAAATTATTTGTAAGCATTAGCAACAAGTGTGAAAATGACAATTTACATGCAGCTATAAATAAATCATGACACAAGTTCTATTAGCTAAATATTTAAAGCTTGCACAATGCCTCTATTACCCTAATAGTCCCAGTAAACGCAATGCCAGGTATGATGCTTACACCCATACCTGTTTTGCCTTCTCCAATTTTCCACAATCTGCATACGAATCAATAAGGGCCATAAAAATTTGTTTTGTTGGTGGGACTCCAGATTGGTTCATTTCTTCAAAATACTACAAAAAAAATATTATAATTAGCAACTCAAAATGTCCATACATCAAATCCTAACATCAGAACTTCAGTTAACAAAAAATCTTAGTTACAACAATTCATCAAAAGTGTATGGATGCACGCATTAAAAAAAAAATCATTAATCATATTTATATTTTTGGGTATGATTGGTTGAAAATTTTACAATCAACAATTCTAGATTCTTTCAACCCTATCATAATACTGACTCACATTAAAGCATAAGAACTTTATCTACCTCAACAACACAAACACATTGTAAAGAGATTATTTCAGCATACCTGATGAAAATCCATTCAACACTGAAACTTCTAAGAAGAATCCCAACAATCAGGTGCGGAGGGAAGGGGGGGCAGGCAAAGGCCATGATCCTCACAAAAAAATTTAATTTCCTTTAAATTTTATTAAAAAAATTGTTTTATGGTCCCTTAAAAATAAAATTATATATGTTGGTCTCCCTCACTATTTTTCTGGCTCCACCACTGCCAATAATGTGTTCATGGGCCAGGCTTCCAAATGCGAAACAAGTCGAACAAAAAATAGCATACACAAGAAGTGTAGAGACACAGCTGCACTAAAGAAGTTGCCAACAACTGTATATGAATCTTGTTAAGATTGGAGTAGCCTAACATGTATTTAAATCATACCAAATGATATGAGGTAGGCGATGTGGGACTTTCAACACATCTTATTTTAAATTTTGATTCTCCCTTATTTTCTCACCATCTCATTTCTCCAGAGTGGTTAGTTATAATGGTTAAATTCTTGTTAATTGATGAATGAAAATTCATAAAAAAATTATACTTTCTCCCTATTTAGGACACTTACCTTACTTGGTTGAACTTTTGTAAATTACTAAACTTGACTTAACTTTTGTTTTGAGAGGTTATACATGAAAATTTGATGAATAAGATTAGAAGAATAATGAAGATCATGGTTGAAGCTTATGCTCGTGGAAGATCTTGAGGAAGGAGAATTGAAACTTCAAGAGTTTGCTTAGCTCAATAAGCCAAAAGAAGAATTTTCACCAGATGTAGTCACTCTAGAAATTACTTTTGCTGAATGAAATTGGATAGTGAACCAAAAGCAAAGAATTTGCTAAGCATGCTAGTTTTGCTAAGTAAAAATAAGACAAAGAGTCAAGAGTAACAAATATATTTCACTAAGCAAAAACTGGACAGTATGCTAGAGTGTTCAACTTCAATGAGCGAAAAAATTTTACTCAATGGAAAGCTTCCCAATTTTTACAATATTCCACTATTTTGGAAATTTGTACTATTTAAAAGTATCTTGTGCATTTAATAGAAACATTTTGGATTGTGTACAAAAGTGGTCATTGTTCCACGTGCAGCTTCTTTGTATGGCTCAACTAGGCATGTGTTGTCCACAAGCCATCTCCTGGTCACCAAAGCAACATTGCACCACCTCCATTGATTCTGCCAACCTATCTAGTCCATATTTCAACCACCCTTCCACCTTCCTCTACTGCTTGAAATATTGGATGTCTTGAACACCTAGTGGCCTATCATAGCCTATCATAGTCAACACAGGCTTGCATTTATATGTTACAATACTTAATTATAATCAATAGTTTAAGCTTAATTCATTAGTATTTATGATTTAATTTACAATATTATAGTGTATTTGAATATTCTAACAAAATACAAAAAAATGTAATATTTTAAACTATAATCCATTTTATTTTTGTTGAAAGTCTCACATCGTCTATCTCATGTCATGTATGGTTTAAATACCTATTAGACTACTCCACATATTGTCAATTGGTTTTATGTTGGAAACTTGACATGATATCAGAGTCAAAGCCTAATTTCTATCCGGTTTTTGTCTTGGGCCAAGAGTTGCCCTTTTATTATGGATCAAAAGTACTATTTGCCTGGTCCGGCAGGCTTTGTTAGAGGGGACATGTTGGAAGTCTCACATCGTCTGTCTCATGTCATGTAGTATGGTTTAAATACCTATTAGACTACTCCACATATTATAAATTGGTTTTATGTTGGAACCTTAACAATTTTAATTTTAATATGTAAATATCTTTTAAAAAGTAGGTCAACTCGCCCTGTCAGGTTGGTGAGTTAGGTGTAACATGCTAAAACGGACTAAAATTATCAACCTAATTCATCAATTTGTGGTGGGCTAACCCATCGAACCTGACTCGTTTTGTCATCTTTATTAGTTAGCATTTGTAATGCCTATATGTACCCTATTCAATGAGAATCATCCCAACTGGGAAGGGGAAATAATTTCCAAACAGTATTCCTAATTATTTCTGACATAGTTCTTATTATTCTTTGGCAAACTATCATGTTATGAATTCTTGATTTCTTTCAAGAGGGTAATCTACGACGGAATATTACATTTAATTTTCCGAGGACAGATAACATGGGAGACTGTCAATGTCAAAAGTTACAATAACCATTTGAAAAGAACACTAGACAAAAATTAATAAATTGAGATAAACATAAGACTTTATGCCCAATTTCTTGTCATGTATTACTATCATAACATACCTTGATAATATCCTCTTCCGTTTCACAATTGTTAATCAAATAGGAGAAAGTCTGAGAATCAGGTTTTACATTGGCACCTTGCATGTACTTGAGGACTCTCAGCCCACCACTGATGTTCTTCTACAAATTATAAAAAAAAAATGTGAGGAAAGGAATGCATTATTTTAAGCAAATTCAATATTTTTTTTAATAACAAAGAGAAAAAAATAATAAAAAACAGGATATGCTTATAAGATAATAAGTCAAGATAATATGACAAAAATTGCAACATTTAATGCTAAACATTCAAATCTAATTAGAAAATGGTTGCAAGTTTGACTGAGAATAGACATATACTAAAAATCCAAGAATGTCACCTCCCGATAATATCCCGCCATTATAGCATTGTACATGTTTGTCGTAGGTTTGAAACTCATCTCCTCTAAGTCATCAATTATCTTGTATGCACATGCAAACTGCATTAAGAAAGTAAATACAAAATAAGTTTATTGCATATTTGACATATTGACACCGATTTCAGACAGACAGTTTCAATTCCTAACTAATAGGATTTCTTTTCTACAATTTTGTACTTCTTTTAGCTAACACACTATACACACGTGCGTGTGTGTGTGAGGGAAACACACATAAACATCCATTCACACGCATACACCAGCTTGTTCTTTAGAAGAAGTATGTCAGCAAGCTACATCATGGATGTATTTAAAAACAATTTTAGTCATAATTCCTAACTTTAACCCTTCTGAAAAACAAGTTGGTGTTTACAAAGAAAATCCCACTCTTCATCATTTTATGTACCTTGTGTGTACCCTAGAGCATTGTTCGAGTGAAGTCAATCAATAATGTCATCAGTTTTACTTTTATGTATCTTTGATCTCAATGGGAAGTATCAAGATTTTCCCTCCAAATCTTGGTCTGATTAGCAGTGATAAGAAGTAGATTTTGCGTTTGGTTGAAATATTTAAACCTCTTTACTTCAAATTCAATTTTAACCAAAATTGATGTTGCAAACATTCACCCAAACATTACATCTATTGCAAGTTAAACGATTATGAGGTCATTCATCATAGGGAGTGATTTTGAAGCATACTGTGAGTATATTCAATACCTATTAAAAACTATATACCAGAGAATAGAATTTTGTCTGCTTTCACAAGACCTTAATAAGATATCTTTCAGAAAACATACCCATGCACCCATGTAAACAATATACAACTTACATCTTTTATCCTCACGCAAAAGTGTACCAAACACCTGCATATTTCACCATTCAAGTCCAAATGATAGCGACATATTATGGAACGGATTCGATATACCTTGATTTTTAATCAGCCATGGAAGAAAGGAAAAATAGATATCAGTATAATATGAAGAATAAACGTTTCAAACAATTAAAACATTATCCCACAATTAATTTCCACATAAAGTAACAAAGATCTCCTCAAAGTCTGCTTAACTTTAAGAATGAAATTTCAAGAAAATACAGAAATTGCTAAAAGGAAACAAACTCCATTACGGATATACAGAAGGATTTCTTGCCTAATAACATTTTTTTCCCATCTTATGTTGTTTAAATCACAAACCCTGTGTCTGACAAAGTATTGTAAAGAGTTAGGCAGTCATTTCTAAGCAATCTCACATTTTAGATAGGCCAGCAAATTTTATGAAAAATGGGAACTAATGTTTTGGACAAAATAATTCCTTTTTCATTATAATTAAGAACGATTTCAGCAAGTCTTGCACCTTCAACTTACCTTATAAGCCATTAAGTTGAATTTTATATTATATACAAGCTAAAGCACAAACTATGTTGTTGACATCTCAGCCGAGTCCAGTGAGCTTATGTTTCAATTTGATTTAGCCAACTAAGCATGTTCATAAGTTGTCTCCATACAGACATTCACTTTCACCTATCTCTCTCATGCCTACAAATTATATTTTTGGTGCATTTATGGACAGTATAGTTTAGAATAAGGAATCTAAATAAGCATCATCCTCTTCACATTCTTTTATTCCACATATTTGAAAACAACTTGAGTGAAATACATCCCACCTAATCTATAAGGAAAGAAAAAAAAAATTATCCAGAATCATTCATCTCTAATTTGAAGACAAATAAAATAATTAATCATTTTCAACATACTTAGGAATCATGACCATAAGAAAGACAAATAAAAAGTTGATCCTCTGCAATATTCAATAATAAGACATTATGAGATTTCTATGAATTTTATTGCAAAATATATCAATTTTTTTACTAGAAAAAGGGTTAAGTGTATATACTTCAATTCTTAAATCATCAATCTAAAAAACCTTCATCAAGAAAATAGTTATTATACAAATTATAATGCACTACAAAATCTTAGGTTATTATTTATATGTATTAAAAATCTCACATCAACTAGAGATATAATCAAATTATAATATATAATTGAAGTGCAAATCTAACCATACAAACTGATTTTGTAGGGTTGAATTAAGCATTTATCCATTTCTAATGAGATTTGTTGGCCTATCACTCCACTCATTATTGGCATTGGCCAACCTTTGAGAGATGTCAAAGTTTTATAACTTATATTAGCATTTATGATTTTTGTCCTACACTATTTTCAAAGTTTTGTAACTTTCATTAGCATTTATGATTTTGGCCCCCCAAACTTAATGATTATTAACTATATATAATTTTATATTAATAAATTTGATCTTTCTTCCTTTCATATTCTTTTATCTTTTCATATTTATTTATTATTTATTAATAATATATTATTTGACCCCCTCAAGATCAATGGATTACCTTTAAATATTTAGTTCTACACTCTCGAGATATTCATTCCTCGATGTAAGGGAGTCTATTGGAAATCCTACATCAAGTGCAGATATGGCAAAATCATAATATATAATCAAGGTATAAACCTCACCTTAAATAACATTCTTACTACATCTAGACATCATTTGAGAAATTGACTTCCTAATATTTGTAATGTAACTTACTACAAGAGGCCTTAATGATTTATAGTTTCATAATTTTAGACATATTTATTCTAAATGTGCTGGATAAATGAGTTCTACAAGGGCTTAAATTATTGAAATAGCAATATTATTTGTAAATTCTTGCATATTTTTTATAGACAAGTTTGAATAGAGTGAAAATAAAAATTTCTTTTAGTTTTCAATACATTCTATAACTATTAAGCTTTTTTTAAAAATAAAAATAAAAAAAGAACCTAAGATACCTCTAAGAGCGCATGTCTATATCTAATTTAAATTAAACTTCATCAGAAGATAGTTTTGGACTATAGTCTGTCCTTTGAGCCCTAAGAGCAAACTAACACTTACTGACATTGACTGCATGAGAATTTAAGGGCAAAATTTATGATGTATGTTGTAAGAAGAGATGAATAGATTATTGTGTAAATTATCAAAAAGAAGAAACAGAGGAGCTGTTGTAAGGAAGATGAATCATACCAAATTATATTCATGAGACTTCTCACACGTCTGTAATATTAATTGTAACAATTGAGTTGACAAGTTAAAGCCAGCATCACACATTGTTTCAACAATATCCAGAGCGGTGACCACCTGCATTGAAAAATAAAAGGAAAAAGAAAACAATTCAGATGCAGTTTTCTAGCTAGACAGAGGTATATGAATAACCCAAGTATTGCAGTTCTGGTAGTTTTCACACTTGATAGAACAGAAATCCAAAAGCTTCTATGTAGACCTCTATATTTCCTATTTCAATGAACTTTTCATAGATTGTCAACCTTTCTTCTCCCAAAACTTGCAACCAATGTTCTTTTAAATTTTGCCCATGTCAGAGAGGTTTCTTTTTTTTTTTCAATCCATTGAACCAGTGTACAGTTGGTACTTCCGTACACAACTTGGCCTACTCAATTCTTACATCTTCAATAGTTTTCTGCACTTCAAAATGATTTTTGGTCCATGTGATACTCTCCACAGAGTATTCCCCAATGAGAGCTAGTAGTTCTATTTGTTAACTGATACCCAATGCTCATCCAAGTTATTGTGGGGGTCATAGTCTGTCTGACCCAGTTCCTGCAGAACCACTCTCACACTTGCTCTGGTAGTCTCCAAGAAATAATTTCTCCTTGCAATCTCACTTTCTCTCTGATAGTCTAACGTAAGATATTTTCTATCAGGAAGGATTGATGTTATTAAAGATGTAAAAAATTAGTTGGATATATAAGGAAGAAGCAGAAATGTCACCTATGGTGGGGGAAAATAAAAAGAATTGAAGAAATTTTAGTATTCTTAGAAAATTGGTTTGATAAAATTTAACAAATTAGAGTCTATAATAAACAGATTACTATTTCTATTAGTTCAATTTTCAAATATTGTTAGGTTAGCCAAGGGATGGATGTATTGAGCAGGGTTTCAGTGTTCTGAAAAAGCTCTGAAGAGAGCACTCACTACTCATGTTATCATTTTGCTTCTAGCTTTTTTTCCGCTCTTTTTCCCTTCTCATGGACTAGATTTTTCCAGCCAACTGATGCCCACAATATGAGAATGAATAAAAAGAATTATACCTTGTCTAAACCACAGCAATGCAAAATGAGCTTTTCATATGATGCGGATGAAGGCAACACTCCCAGTAATTCATGCATAGCATTGACCTTTGGGATGATATCCTCAACCTTCCACATTATCAAACAAATTACTTAAGGCCAATATTAAACCAAATAACAAGAAAAAAAGAAAAAAAAAACTCATGTTAGTCAAGAAGGATTACGTAATTTCTGCACAAAGCATGATTGATGTTCTTGAAAGTTGAAAACCTTTAACTTTTCAAAGTTTTTGTACCGTGTATATGTCAAAACAAAAAGTTATTACATCAAATAATAGATGCAAAACCATTCATGGACCTCCACCTTCTGGTGCTGAAATATTATGGCATCAAGAAAAAAATTCCCTAGAGTTTCACACCATGTCAATAATCAACTCTCCCAAAATAAGGTAGTTTAGGGTTAGTAGTCTTAGATGAGAAGCATCTTTCTTGAGTTTAAACCTTTCTTAATAAAATAAGGTAATAAAGAACTTAGAAAGAAAGCTTTTTCAATCACCCAAACCAGTTTTTCAAAGGGTTTGTTTATCTTTACAAGGTTGATGAACAATCTAATAGATCGCACAGTTTTTGTAACAATTACATGAGTTTTATCTTTGAATAAAAGCAATCAATATCAATGTAACGAATTAAAACACGGGTAAATCAATGACTGTGTTGTTACTTGGCTTCTGAAAAGGAAAACTCAATCACAAATTTCGGTTGTAATCGATTACATAAGGTCATTTTGCATAAGATGGTTACTTGCTTACAAATTAACGGATTACATAGTTTTCTTAGCCATTACAAGGTGCAGGTGAAAAACTTGTGCATTAATTGATTACAAGATTTTCGTAATCAGATTACATTAGGCAATTAGTGTTAAGCAAACAGATAATCAATTACAAAAGGTTTGAAATCGATTAGATAGCTTTAATGAATTCTGGAAATTATTTATGAATATGAAGAACAAAATAACTAGTTACATTAACGAAATAACTTATTACATATGTAGTGAAATTTCACTTCAATAAATAGATGTTTTACCTTCCTTATCAAACAGAATTAGATACAACATAGGTCAGAGACAATCATTCAATACTTTTAAATGCTTTAGATTGCTCAAGATTTCCATGTCTTAAAAAAAAGAAGAGAAATTTCATGAATAAACAAAACCAAAGGAAGTTTATCTTCTACAAAAGAACTTTTCAAGAAGAGGTTTGATTCAAGATTGTTGTTTCTCTTCTCACCAACCGTCTGTCCCTTACAATTGTCCATCTCATCTAACCCCTCTCCAGTTATCCAACTTCTGAGGTGAAAGATTTTTCTTTTTTCTTCATTTATTTTCTTTTCGTTTCCTTTTCTATTTCTGATTTTTCAAAACCACTGTTTTTTTTTATTATTATTATTCAGTCATTTGGTTTTATTATTTGACAAAAAAAAATTGTTCATTTTGTATTCTTACGCAGTCTTTTTTGTTATTTTCCTATTGAGATGTTTATGTTCTTATTCAGTCTTTTGTGTTACACTAGCCTGCCTTTATCTATTTTTTTAATTTCTTATTTAGTTTTTGAATTTTTTACATCAATTTTTTATTCAGTAATTCAAAAAAAAAAATTCTTTTTGAGTTCTTAATTTCTTATAAGGTCCTTTAATTAAGTTTTGTGTTCTGCCTGCCTTTCTCTCAGTTTCTGGTTTTTTAATTTCTTAATTAGTTTCTGAATTTTTCATATTAGTTGCGTTCTGGTGGCATTAATTTTGATTGGCGTTGTGATTTTTTTATTAAGTTTCTTATTTTCTTATTTAGTTTCTGATTAGTATTATTAAGAATTGACCTGCTAAAAGTTGATAATTAAGGTTTATATTTTCTCTTTTCTATGAATTTTGTGTTTGCTTTTCTGTTTCAGCTTATATATACTGATATTAATAATTTAAAATATATAAAAGATAATAGCAGTGATCCAGCTAACCCACTTTGTGGGGTTAGCTGCTCCTCTCCGCTGTCTGAGAATGACAACTATGGTTCTATGAAGAAGCAAACTGTAGACAGGCCCACGTGCATCCCAGAATAACATAGCATCAAGGACATAACATAGCATCAAGGACATTTACCAGTAGCATTCATAAGAAGTTCCTCACCGCTGAATTTGGAATGCTAACAGCATAACTAGCAATGAAGTTTGAAATATTATCTGCATCCTGATCTGCATTACGTAAGAATTCATCATTAAAATCCTTAACCTTACATGGCACAAATTTATCGAGGAAGATAATACTTGATCCTTCTGGTGGGAAACAGATTCTCACCATCCATTAACATCCCAAATAAATAATGACAGAGTGTTAGACGAACATAAATTAGTGCGTTGCAACTTCAACAAAGCTTTAGAAGAAGATATATAATGCACACACACACACTGTATCTCTAGCAAAATTGTGTAACATATCTTGGTGTCAAGTTCCTATTGTAAGCTTACCACGTTTCAAATAACAAATGAAAAATCAAGATTGTCATTATGACAAATAAAAACTATAAATTTTGAATTAAGAAATTTAAAGGCATATTTTTTTCAAAAGTTTCAATATTGTGACAACTGAAACCTGATTATGAATATAAATGTAATTGTGTTTTAACTCTTCCTAGCCCAAAAACATTAGGACTGCAATTTAAATCTAATTCAGAATTTTATAACTCTAATTAAAATTTCTTTCACAATTCTATATAATGATGATAATTCTACAAACCATATATAACCCCTCAAATATATAAATCTTGTTAAGGTTCCAACATAAAACCAATTGGCAATATGTGGAGTAGCCTAACATGTATTTAAACCATACCAAATAATATGAGGTAGGTGATGTGGGACTTTCAACACACCCCCTCCAACGAAGTCTGCCGGACCAGGCAAAGGGTACTTTTGACCAACTAATAACCAAAAAGATGTTAGGCTTTGGCTCTGATACCATGTTAAGGTTCCAACATAAAACTAATTGGCTATATGTGGAGTAGCCTAACATGTATTTAAACCATACCAAATGATATGAGGTAGGCGATGTGGGACTTTCAACAAATCTCAAGAAAAAGACAGTTGTAAATTGTAATACAAAGTGGAAAACATATATACATACATACATGTGCATGTATGTGTGTATAAAAGGTCTTATCTAAAAAAACAAAACAGTGCACCAGCTCTAGTACCATCTGCAAAGATGCTTAAAGAGGAAAATAAGATCATAATCATACCACACGATCTGAAATCCAAAAGGATATCTTTTGCAACAGATTCCAGCTGGAGCCTGCCTAATGATTGGAATATAACTGCAATAGATTCTGCAGATGAAAGCTTCATGATGTCTATATTCTTCACTACATCCAAAACCTGCATCTTCCGATCACTTTGGCAAAGAGCAATCAAGTAACTTTCTGCAACAACAATTGATTTTAGCCGAGGTTTGTCTACCACAACGTGAAACAAAAATGTCTATTGCAATTGGACATAAAAATAGGCAACAAAAAGAATTGTTTTAATAATTATGTTATCATACTTGATGCACTAATTTTCAAATAACTATGCTTAGCACAGTAACTTCTATTATTAGGAAGCTAGATGCCAGCAACATACCTGGAATACAATTGACTGCAAATGCAATTTTCTTACCATGTTCCTGGTATGAATTACGAAAAAACCTTTGATTGTTACACAAAAGCATAAAACACCCCTTTCAAAAGCACTTGTCATTTAAATCATGTTACTTAGTATTCCTGGTAGGATGAAGAAGAATGTCTTATGGAAGGCATCATTGTTGTCCCTACCACCTAGTTTGGTTTAGGATATGGAAATAAGTTGGTGCTGTTTAGCTTAGGGGATTTAGAGGAAAATTAATTTTGAAATTGGTGCAATCCGTTGTACTACTTTTATCCTATTTTGACTCATCTCTCTCACTTTTTCTTCAACCAAATACCTTAAATTTCTAATTTATTTCTCACATATTTCCACTCATTCTTTTTTATTCCCATCCATTCTATTTCTCTTCTCTCAACCAAACAAAGCAACTCATGAATTTCTTACAAGTCGCTTTTAAAATCCTGCACTGGATGTTAAATATTGGATAAAACAAATCACAAAAATTGATTCACCAACCTCGTAAAGCAGAAGTGTCTTCTCCATCTTCGACAGTAATATATTCACAAATATCCCGGATCATTTCTTCATTGTCAACTCTTAACCACAGCAACATTTCATAGTAACCCAATCGTGAAACTGAACCAGGATTCTCAGCTTTGATAAAATCAGAGAAAAGTTGAAATTCTTGAACCAAACCCATATCAATTATATATCGAAGAAGTGGATCATACGTTTGCTCGCCCAGTGGATATCCACGATCCATCATTTCTTTGAAAAGGTGAAAAGCCTTACTCATTTCACTTACAGCAATGTATTCATTGTCAGTCGCCCTAGCCTTCTCTATGCATATTTTTATCAATGCTCTGAACTCCTTTACACCTGTTTCTCGACCCAAGTGAGCAAACACATTAACTGTTTTTCCTGTTCCTAGTTTAGCTCCACACAATTCAATTAACCTGTCGAAACGGTGATTACTCGTGTATTTAAAAATCCACTTATGCTTCCGCTCTCGCGCTACCTCCTTTCGTTTGATTATTAAATTACCATAAGACAGGTCCGCTACCCACGGTATATCTAATGCTCTTTTCCTTTTTTCTTCATGATCTACTTCCTCAGAACCAGCCGTCTTGTCTTGTTTACCTGCAAAAGAAAAAATAGCGCACACACATCCAACATTGATACAAAGCAACAACATGACCAAAAACCATTTCAATTCTCTAAGTAACCACGTCATCCAAAGCAAAACACAAGACCTGTACTCTCTCAGTAATTTCAACAAACACTTACAGCACAACAAAGCAGAAAGCTCGGTAGTATCTACATTTTTGTCAGCCGAATCCCCTGCACCAAAACGTTGAAAAAATAAAACATCATTACACACTCAAACACCATAACAGCACGCCAAATTAATCCCCAAGGAAACAAAACAACCTAAACCAACCCATTCGCTAGCACAGAGCCCAACATTTTTCTAACTCATTTAGCTCAAAAACACAAAACCCATTAACACAATAAGACTCCTCTCTGAAACTTAACATAAATGAAAACATGGGTAGGCATAAAAATTCAAACTTGCCAAGGGTCCTTCTGGAATAGTCACGAGCGAGGTCGAGTTCTGAGGAGTGGTGCAGTTCAGAACTAAAATCACCTTGGGATCCAGGAGAAGGTTTTATGAAGGATACAACTTTGGTGTTGGGTTTGTGGGTGCGGAAGAGGTCGCTGAGAGTGCATAGGTTTCTTGCGGTGGGGGCGCGCATCTAAGCTCCGTAACAAGGTACAAGAATACGAGTGTGTTTGTTTGGTGCTTAGTTTTTGTTGCTGAATTGCTCTTTTCGTCGTTCTAAAATTGCGTTTTGTGTTGGTTCGAGAAGTTGAAGTGAGAAACGGAAGAACAGAACTACCTCGTACGAAGCAAGAACGCAAAACGGAACGTACACAGAATAAGAAAATTTTGTACCAAAGGGTGTGGTGAGACCAGTGGGAAAAAAAAAAATGATCATAAAAGAAGACTAAAAACAAGATTTTAATTTCTAAACAAACTTATATATACTTTGATTTGAAATATTTAGAAAAAAAAAACTATCTAAATTTGTAATTTAGTTATTAAATTAGTCATTAAATTTCATAAAATAATAAAATATCTCCTAAATTAATATTTTGTGTTAATTTAAATCTTCGTATTATATAAGTTAGAGAAAATTACACTAACTCTTCTCCAAAAAAAAAAAAAATTCGAATTATATTTATATCTAAATTTCTTTAGTATATCTCCCTTAACTCTTATGAATTTAGACCATAGAAAATATTATTTTTATGCTAATTAAGTTTTTAAGAAGACTATTTTAATTTTTTTAAAAAAACATTTCATCATTTTTTAAAATATTTCAAAATTCAATTTCGCTGTATTGAATAACTATTATTGTTATATATTTTAAAAATAACATTTTTTAAGTTTAAATAATTAATCTAAATATAATTTAACAAATATTAATGCTGAAGATATTAATATACGAAGTGACAAAAAAAATAGTAACGTAATTACTCTGGCATCTTCTTAAGATGATATTTTTACAATCAAAGAGAAAAAAAATTACAATTTTAAAAAACAGTTATTATCAACAATATACAATGAAGATTTCATATATAATCATTTTATTTAAATAAAAATATCATAATTTAAAAGAATGAATATTATAATTTATATATTTAAAATAGTGAATATATGAAAGAAAAAAATAAGATAGAAAAAAATGAATATTAAAAAAAATAAGTTAAAAAACTTTTTTTAAAAATAATTGTACAAAAATATAAACATGTAATCACTTTAGTAACTGTATTTTAATTAGTATACATTTATATTATATATAAGAAAGTCCTTTTTTTAGTCGATTTTATGTAATTAGAAATATAAAAAATATCATATATAATAAACAAAAAATATAAGATAATACAGAGATAAAAAACATAATAAAATAATTAAAAAATTATTTATATATTAAGAAAAAAATAAAAGAATAATAAAAAATATATAATACATATAAATATAGAAATAAAAGTTGTATAAAAAAATAATTATATTAAAAAATTAATAATATAAAAAATATAGAGATATAAACGCTAAAAATTTTATATAATAACGAATTTTATATTAAAAATATCTTCAATATTCTATAAATTTAGAATAACACTAAATAATTCAGTCATTTTTTTCTTTTTCTTTTTTATTTTCTTAGTTCATTAAAGAAAGCATCAAAGTTTAAAAAAGTGTATAACTAATTAAATTTGAATAATTTGTATGTAAAAATAATTATATTTTTATCTTAAACTTTTAATCCAACAATATAAATCTAAATCAACTATTGAAATGTAATTGTAGATAATGAATAATTAGAAAGCATTTATATAAGATGTTATTTTAAAAATAGTTATTTAAGATTGTTTGAAAATGAATTTAATAATTTTTTTACTTTACCCAATCAATTTCAAAAACCTTTTTTTAAAAAACAATTAAAATCACTCTAAAATCACAGCAAGATTCCAAAACTACCATGGCAGAAAAGAATTTCAAACAGCGACAACCCATCGTCATGTCATAATCTCAACACGTCGCTTCACATAAAAACCCCACCTTTCGTTTCACCACCTTCTTCTTCTTCTTCGGTCACGTGCATGGAACCTGCACAACGCAACTGCTGCACGTGCTCCCTCAGCACCATCTTGTCCCTGGGTCTCTCCGCGCTCTTCCTCTGGTTCACTCTCCGCACCTACCCTCCCAAATGCTCCATCAAATCCCTCTCTCTCCTCACCCGAAACGACACCGTCGTCTTTCAACTCTCTCTTCAAAACGAGAACAACGACAAGGGCGTCAAATACGACGCCGTTCACCTCGCCTTCGCGGTCTTCCTCGACAACACCACCACGCACCCTCTCGCCAACGCCACGCTCCGGCCATTCTACCAGGGCCACGGAAAAACCACGCGTAAGTGGGGCTCCGCCGTGGCGCCACACGCTGCCCGACTCAACCGCACAGCGGCGGTGAAGAACGGGAGTGTGTTCCTGCGCGTGGAGTTCGCGACCAGGGTGAAGTATAAGATGTGGTTGAACTTTTACATTAAACGGCACCGTTTGGTCGGAGGGGCTAATGTTGAGGTTAATGCTAGCTCCGGGGAGAAAGTGGAACCTAAAGCAATTAGACTCGGAAACGTGCCTCCCAGACTCGCGTCCCGAGCTGTGGAGGTTCGGAATTGGTATGTGTCGTTGGTCGGAATTTTTGTCTCTGGATTTTTTCTCGTTGCGGCTACTTGTGTTGACCGTTGATTATTGAGTGTGTTTTGTTTTATTATTATTTTTTTATTTTTGGTTTTGTATTGAATTGTCTTGTGGCATTTTGATGCATGTATTGATTGTATTGTTGTCTATATTTTTTAGTTGAACAATAATATTTGAAAATACAACTTTTAGATAATCCTCTTGTATTAACATAATAATGATAATAATATATAATAAGTAAATTTATAATTAAAAAAATATATAATTATTTATTGATTATTTGTTAAATTGTGAGTTATCAAAATATCTTTATCTTTTTAAGTTACATGTCATAACAAGAATAGATGTATAACACGAAAATGATTTTTAATTAATATTTCTTTTAACTCATCAATCTCCATCTCAAGAAACATATTATTTGCATTTATGCTATCTAGCATTTATTCTTTTAGACAAATAGACAATGTTAATTAAAGGGAATTTGAGTCATTTAAAAAAAAGTAAAATTAAATTGAAAATTTTAACTATAATGAAACAAAACCGAAAAAATTAAATAAATTGTAGGATAAAATAAGTTATTAAGTTTTTAAAATATTATTTAAGTAGTTTATGATATTTCAAGATTTTTTTATTTTAAAATTTCACTAATTATTATTTGTTAAGTATAAAAAATTATTACATATATATAAAATAAGAGAGATAAGATACAAAACACAAAATTACAATAATTATAATATAAATAAAAATATCGTTTATTTTTCTTCCAAACTTGATAAAAAAGACAAGAAAGAAGTTATAATAAATAAAGTTATCAATTTTAACAAGTTGGGTTATTAAAAAATAATAATAAGTTTTGAATCTCTCTTTGGTAAAGGTGAATTATCATCCCATATCTTTTAACATTTAATGGGTGCTAATATTAAGGGGAAAAAATCAATTTATGTAAAAGTAGGAAAATTATCATTAGCATTTATAATGAACAGTTGCTTAAATAGATTATATAGTTTAATTTTGTGGATGTTGTAATAGAACATAATTAAGCAATATTTAAGGCTAAGTTTTCTTTAGTGTGTGTGTGTGTGTGTGTGTGTGTGTGTTTTTTTTTTTTAATTTAAGTTGCATTGTTTAAGTTTACTAATTATGAGTTTGATTCTTTAATTTTTTTTTATTATACTTTATGTTTTATTTTATTGATATGATAAGTTTTTTCATATGTAACATTTTTTTTTCAAAACTTTTTAACACAAAATTACTAACAACCAACTATTTTTATAAGCAACGGCAATAACTCATAATCTCTAACACTAAAATAATTTTAAAAAATAATATTTAATATTAATCAACCCTCTTTAAGTATATATATATATTTGGAGATTATCTTGGCCATTTTTTTTTAATGTTTTGAAGATTGAAAGAGAAAGTAATTAATTGTTCAAGTCAGTTTGGTTGTACAAATTTAACAAGAAAGGACATAATTCGAAGTGCAAAAGAATTGTAAACAAATTTAGTTGAATAGATTTTTTATATTGATTTAAAAAAAATCATTCAATAAAAAGTAAAACTTTATTACTAAACATTAACATTATTAAATTTATATAAATATTAATTATTAAAATTATATATATATATATATATATATATATATAACATGAATTTCAACAATTACTTATATGCATGTCTACCAATAAATAAATAAATATATATATATATATATATATATATAATGAATTGAACTGTATTCAAAATAAATTATGAACTAATTAAAAACTAATTACACATTTTATAATTATTAATTTGAATATATTTAACAATTCATAATATTATAATCTGTTAGTATTTACATATATAATTATTTTTCACCATCTTTTTTCGGTTTGAAATATGTATTAATATATTAAAATAACCAAAAGTAATTTAATAAATAGCATTAATAGGAGCCATTCAAATTTTCATTAATAATAATTAGATCATTAATTGTGGATCCAACTATTTAAACTTTCAATATTTGTTAACATTTGACTGCTTGCAAACTATGGGAAAAAGAAAAGCAAAAGCTCACCAAGTTGTAACAGAACAATCAATTTGTTTCACCCAACACAGAAAAGCAGTTCTAACTTTTCTTTTTCACATTGCTTCCAAACTTGCAAACATGGAACATTCTTAAATTTCATGAGGGGCAACCCCGGATTCTACCATAGCATGCACTAATTGTCTCAGAAAAGTTACCTTACAGCTACTAATTAAGTTTATCTAGGGGAGCTTCCATTTTGAAATTTAACAAGAGAATTGTATGCACCATCACGTCCAAGTGAAATCAATTCGTTATGTGAACCTTGTTCTACAACCTTCCCGTTTTTAATCACAGCAATGTAGTTGGATTTCTGTATTGTAGAGAGCCTGTGTGCCACTACTATGCATGTTCTTCCAACCATTATCTTCTCTAGTGCTTCTTGGACCAAGATCTCTGACACACTATCAAGTGCACTTGTAGCTTCATCTAAAAGAAGTATTGAAGGATTCTTCAGAATGGCCCTAGCTAAGGCTATTCTTTGCTTCTGACCTCCTGATAGCTGTACTCCTCTTTCCCCACAGTATGTCTCATACCCATCATTCATTCCACTGTCATGACAAAAACCACCAAGACAAAAAAGAAAATGAAAAAAGTGTCAGTGCCAAGAGGAAGAAGGTTTCAAGGAGCAGCCAATGCAGTTTTGCTTTGGAAAGTCTTTTGCCAATATGAAACTTAGTATATAGATCATGTTTAGACTAGGTACATTTTGAGTTTGTTTTGAGTGCTATTACATGTTAATCACTTTTTCATTGAATAATTAGAAGTGCTTTTACTTTTAAGGAAAAGAAAGATTGAAAATAATGCCAAAGGCTACCTAGTGTCTAGTTGTTCTCTCTAGCAGCCTGAGCATGTCAACAAGTTCGTTTTAATTCTTGTTTGTTTCTTTAATGTTATGTTTAGGCAAATGAAGGAAATTTTGGCATCAGAACAAAGAATGCTTAAAAAAAGTGATTCTGAAAGACTTTTTCTTTGTAAATTTTGTATTTACAGTTGTCTCGTACCTTATGAATTCATGAGCATTAGCCAGAGATGCTGCCCTTCTTATCTCAGATTCAGTTGTGTTTTCTTTTCCATAGGCAATGTTTTCTCGAATGGTGCCAGCAAAAAGTGTTGGCTCCTGACTCACTAATGCAATTTGTGACCTCAGCATTCTTAAATTATAGGACTTGATGTCTTGTTCATCTATGCATACCGTTCCCTTTGCAGGATCATAAAACCTTTCTATAAGACCAATAACAGTTGATTTACCACAACCACTGTGCCCCACGAGAGCTACTGTTTTCCCAGCTTCAACTTTAAGACAAAGACCCTTGAAAATCATTTGATCAGGTCTAGTTGGATATGCAAAGAAAACATTTTTCAGATCAACTCTGCCCCTTATTTTCCTCTTTTTCTCACCGCCCCATGAAACCTCAGGATCAATCTCAGTTTTCCTGTCTAACATTGCAAAAACTGATCCAACTGCAGTGCTTCCTTTGGACAAGTCAGAAGTCATGCTTCCAGCATCTGCAATAATGTAAGCTGTGAAGAGTAATATTAAAAATGCTTGGAAGAGGTGCTTTGGTTCTATATGCTCATCTATCAAGAGCTTCCCACCATACCAGTAAGCTAGTGCTGTTGATGAAGTGTTGAAAAACTGGGAGCTGAAAAGACCAAAGCCTGAAATCCATGACTGCCTAATACTCTCCGTTTTAGGGCCTATCATTGTGGATTTGAAAAGTGACAACATTCTTTTCTGAGAGCTGAAGGCAGTTATGGTTCTATGGTTTATAACAGCTTCACTTGCAAGCTGGCTTCCTTCCCTTTGTGCCTTACGAGCTTTCTCGGCCATATTCTTCATCAAGACGCTTCTTGAGTAAAAGCTTCCAATGACTAATGGTTGCACTGCAATCATCACAAGGGAAAGCCTCCATGTGAGCACAAGTCCTAGAGTGTAGGCAAAGACAGACCCAAAAACTGCTTGGGCCAACAAAGACAGTCGATCTCCAACAAGGGAACGGACCAAGTTGGCTTCAGAGGATAATCTTGCACAAATGGATGCACTTGTGTTCTCTTCATGATCAAACCACCCTATCTCAAAAGTCATCAACTTCTCTAGTATCTTCTCTCTTATTCTTTTAGTCAACCTTTCTCCCATAACTGCAAAGTTATAGTGTTGGAGAATACTAGTGAAGAAGTTGAAAACACCAATTCCTAAGAAAACGAGGGCCAGGACTTTAGCTTTAGACTTCATCTTAGAGCTATCAGTTTCAAAATAAACCGATATAAGTGTTCCTACACAGTATGCATTCACAGGTTGTACTGCTCCTGATCCTATTGCTCCTAAGATTCCTAGCATTGCTCTTCCCCACTCAGGTGCATTCATTTTCAGCAAACGCCACTGTGAAGGAGCTGGATGATTTGTTCGTTTCAAGTTATCTTCAAAACTATCATCATCAGGGTCATATTGGATAGAATAAGAGTAAGGTGTTCCCATGGAAAACCCCTGACTAAGGGGATACAACATTGGACTGCCTACATTGCTTGATCTGAAACTTACAACTGGACTTTGTGGAATGCTCATTCTGCTGGAGTTTTTTCCTTCTATTTGAAGATTGGAAGATTTGAATTCATCAGTTTGAGTTGTTACTTGCTGCAACTCTACCATGTGAGCATACTCACCATCAGTCAATTCCATGAGCTCATTATGAGTACCTGATTCAATCACTCTCCCTGCTTGAAGGACTGCAATCAATTGAGCAGATCGAATTGTAGACAAGCGGTGAGCAATGATGATTGTTGTCCTTCCTTTTGAAGCTTGATCAATGGCTGCTTGTACCACTCTTTCAGATTGAGCATCCAGTGCACTGGTAGCTTCATCAAGCAACAGAATCTTTGGATCCCTTAGTAAGGCTCTAGCTATGGCAACGCGTTGCTTCTGCCCACCAGACAATTGAAATCCAAACTGCCCAACCTAGGAAAACCATAGTGGTTTGCAGTAACAAGGCTTTAATAAAAATTTGTTCTCTACATCTCACTGTATTTTGTTTTTATAGACCTTACGTAAACAATATATTTTGGTCCATGCTTGTAAATTAGTACTTGCTGCCGTTCATTGAAGGTGTGATAGTTTAAGATTTTTCCGAGATGTTTTACTAGATAGCATGATGCCAAATAGGATAAAATGTTAGTTAACTCAGGAAAATCTAAAACTGATAACTTCGGTAAACAGTAAGTAAGAATCAATTCATAAACATTTTTTCATGTAGATTTTTCGGATGTAGAGGACAAATGAAACAAGAATATCAAAGATCAAACTATTTTGATGTGCTCAGCTGCTATAAAGTATTAGGTAGAAACCTTTAAATATTATTATAATGAAATTTCAAAAGAAGCATACTCAAAACATAAACAAATTTATATAGATTTTATTTTGTTTCCTTCTTTTCTCATCTATACGTATGTTAGTTTGTTTTCATACTTGTCGGAATAAACAAGTTGAGATCAACTTACTTGAGTTTCATATCCATCTGGCAATTTGACAATGAAATCATGTGCATTAGCTGCTTTAGCCGCATTTATCACACTTTCCATTGAAGCCCCTTCTTTTCCAAACAATATATTCTCTCTTATGGAAGTGGCGAAGAGAACAGGCTCTTGATTTACTAGACCAAGTTGGGATCTCAACCACTTCAGTTGAAGCCTATTAGTCTTGTGACCATCCAAGAGTATTACTCCCTCAACAGGGTCATAAAACCTTTCAAGCAGTGCTATGATAGTGGATTTACCTGACCCACTACCTCCCACAAGGCCTACCTTCTTGCCTGCTGGGACAGTGAGATTGAATCCTTGCAAGACTGGTGTGTCAGGCCTTGATGGGTAAGAGAAGTATATGTCTTGAAATTCAATCTCTCCCCTCACATATGATAAGGCCTTTCCTTTCTTATCTTCAGAATCTATAGTTGGCACCCGATCAATCATTTCAAAAAGACGTGTGACTGCAGCTGTTGCCTCTGTGATGGCAGTTAGATTTGGAAGGGCACTTAAAATGCTCCTGAAATTCATGAAGTTAAGCATATAAGCATTAACATGTCATATTTAAAATGTTAACTAAATGGTGTAAAAGTAGAATATAAAAGACGAGACAATCACTTACAAGCCTCCCATGAGGACATTGAAGCCTGCTACAAACACATGGCCACCTTGTTCTCCTTTTTTAGTGATAAGAAATGTTCCAACCCAAGCCTGAAAACCCCAACTTATATAAATAACCCCCATACTTCCCAACATCAACCCTTTTGCAAAACCTTGTTTTATTCCAAATTCCAGTGTTGTTTGAAGTGCACTGCTAAATTTGTTTAGTGTTTGATTCTCCCCTACATATGAATAAACAGTTCTTATTGAAGATATTGCCTGTTCTGCTATCCCACCAGCAACCCCATAAGACTCAATCATTTTCATTGCGAGATCCAACATGATCTTCCCAAAGACAAGTGCTGGAATAATAAACATGACAGAGAGTGGTATGGCTGCCAATGTAAGTCTCCATGAAAGTACAAATGCAGAGATGTGGCAGAATAGGAAAGTTGACATGTAAGCCAGGCAATCAGGTATCTACACTCAGAAAAAGGTATAAATTAATAAAACAAAATGGTTAGTTCTCCTTTTATCAGATTTTGAAACCAGTTTATTATAAATGTCACAAAATTAATTTGATTTCAAATTCATGTAAAGGTCAGATTCATGTGTTTCCTTGTGAACAACTGTTTATGGAGAATCCTGTACCGTTATGGAATAAAAGATGAAAAGTATTTCGGGAATGGGGTTACCAATGTACCCTCATCTTGATTTCTATTGCACGCTCTCAGTACCAACAAAATCTTTCGATTTGTTGATTCTTTAACATGTTCCCTTAGGGTTCTTCTTAGCAGAACACATCACTTGTTATAGATCAGCAAGTTTTTTTGATAAAAAGATTAATAAGTACAGTTTGACTTTATTGCACCGTCTATTATTGTGTGATTAAGTACTAGTTTTTTATCAGAAGGCCTATCTACTTCTGCAGATCTATGATTATAATTGCTTTCCAAACAAGTAGGATGCAAAAGGCATAACTGAAGAAACACCTTCTCACACAAGACAACTTGGATTGTATTTGCATCTGAGGAAATGAGTGAGACAACTTGGTAGGTTGTCGAAGAACCACCAGTCTGCGTGTCAAAGAAGCCAACTTCTTGTCTTAGGACTGATTTTAGGTATTCCATTCTCATTCTGGAAGCCTGTCTCTCAGCAGTTCTTGTCCAACATATTCCCTCTGTGATAGCCAAGATCATAAAACATGAAAAGTAGTTACATTTGCTTTTCCTAATGCTATTTGCATAACTTAAAATTGATGTCAATTCTGCAAGCGAAGTAACTGAGCTACCAAGTGTGCAACTTACCAACAAAAGCTGAAAGTCCAACTCCAAGTGCAGCACAAAAGAGTTTCAAAGCATACTGAAAAAAGGCAAGTGAAGTTGTAATTTCACAAACTGTTGAGCAATCATATCCACAAAAATCAAGTTGCAGTTTCTACGTGCATGCTCCAGTGACTTCTCAAAGTTTCATGACAACTTGGTGTTAGAGACTTTTTTCAAAAAAAACTAACTTGACAACTTTAACTTCTAAATCAAATAACTGCCAAAAAGTTAACATAAGCACTTTCCAGCAAAATTGTGTACTAAACTGGCTGATGTATTTTTGCCACACATATTAAACCAGTTGTCTATAGCAGAAGGGTAAAGATTTAATGAACAAGCTCACCATGTTCACTTCATGCATTGTCAAGTGACTATTTTTGTGACCATAAGCGTTGATCACATTACTAAGAATGTACATCGTGAGCGGGATCTGTAGTCCATCTCCAAGGCTTCCCAAGGTCCCAAAGAGCATCAACAACTTGTCCACTCTATCAGCATAACGAAACAGACTATTGTTCCCCATTTCCCCTTAACCTTCCCTATGGAGAGATACCCCTTTATTTTTTCAAGATTCAGTAAGCTTTATCACCAATCTCAGTGAAAACAAATAGAAAAATACTCATATATACAAACTATATTCTCTTAGCAAAATCAGCAACCAACAGATGCCTTTTACTTTTGTCTTTGTTCAACCAAAGCCGGAATGGATTCAACTTGCAAGAGTGGAATTGGCCGGGCTATTACATTATTCAAACATAGAAAACATTGTTTGTGTAGTTTGATACGTGGAGTTTGATAGTTGTTGTGGTTACACCTAGTTTATTACCCCGGCACAAAATTCCATGAGGGTCACTGTTATATGATGTGTTGCCAATTGGACCTAGTCAAGTATGTAGCCAACTGAATAAGGCAATGATTCGATATCTCCAAGGCACGTGTATTGGAAGTGTCTTTCTACCTTTGCATTGTTATGTAGGGCCAATCTCCCATGAGGGTTCCAAAATTTCCATTTTATAGTCTTTGATATCGATCAGGATGTACTTGCCTGCAATGGTATCATTCTACCCAAAAACCAACAAAGAAAAAAAAGTATTGATATATATATATATATATATATATATATATATATATATATATATATATATATATATATAGAGAGAGAGAGAGAGAGAGAGAGAGAGAGAGAGAAAAGAGTTTTAAAGCTTTAAATTACAGTCACATTCATGATTTCGTTGCGTTTTTTTATTTTTTTATTTTGTGAGAAAACAGTGCTAAATGCGGTGGAAGCGACCACAATAAGATTATTATTTTGTATAATTACTCTAAAAATCATATCTAAGATAATTTTTCATTAGTTGATAAAATATATAAAAATTCTTTCAAAGGTGCATGAAAATTAAACTCTTGTATATCTACGCTCTTTGTATAGAAAATAATGAAAGTGCACACTTTGTGAAAATATGATGCCGGCCTTACTCAGCAAAAGGTCCATGCGTCAATCTTTATTGCACAACATATTTTATGTCTGTATACAAATTCTATATTTTTTACATTGGACAGTTACTGGTTCAGTACAAGGAGAATTTGCATTACGAGGTTCCTTCAAGGTTAATTTCGTCAAATTATTACATCGTTATATCTATTTATTTGATTTTCTTGTTCATTGTAAGGAAAAGAACGACACTAATAGAAGGAAGACGGAGGAATTAATAGATTTGTTACTAATTAGATTTGCCACTATTACTTTATAAGCCGTAGTTAGTAGCTAATAAAAAAGTTCAAACGCGTGCTTTGCAAGGTGTGTTTTTTTTTTTTTTTTTTTTTTCTTAAAGTCGATATTTTCCCTACTCTTCTTCGGTTGATTCTGGGTTAAAAACTATTTTTTATTGTTAAGAAATTCATCGTAAAAACTTAATGTAGAAAGAACGCTCGCTGTAAGGTTGGAAGCTCTGATGGCCTTCGAATATAAGGAAGGTTCCTTAAACTTAAGGAACTTCTAAGAGCTCCCTTTCTTAGAAGTGAAAAATCTGTTAAACGACAAATGGCATCTCTGAGACCTCAAACAAAGAGGAAAATCAGATGCCTGAAGTTATATATTAATATTACAAATCAAAAGCATCATTCCGATATACAATTACACATAATACAGGGAAAATCAAAAGCATAATACACATAATCAAATAGTTAAAACATCTATATCATGCCCATAATAACATATAATGAGGTAATAATAAGGATAACTGAAAATCTAGAGGTCCCTCAGAAATCACAATAGATCGTAGCCCGCCATCAAAACCAATATGATAATGATTTAATTAAAGATTTTCTGTAGTGTTTAGTGTTTCATCAAAATACAGACAGGGCAAGTCAGAATATAATAATCTAATACTGCAGAAATGAAGTGATAAAAACCTCGAGTATACAATACTACAGAAACAAATTCACTCATCGTCTTTGTATGGATACTCTTCTGGAACATGCTTCAGAAGTTTTACCTGCAACTCAAACACATCATCACCTCGAAGCACATCACGGAGCCAAGTTACCTCAGTCTTCATTGACACCTGTACATGGAGGATGTATGGGAATTATGTTTACAATAAAAGAACAAAGCTTATGGAGTGGAAAGAAAAAACCTTTAACGCTTCACCACGATACCCAATTCCCAAGATACAAAAGAAAACAGAATATTACATACATATCATGCCTCATTTTCCCCCAGGACAATTTACTATCATAAAGTTGCTTAACAATTTAATTAGGTTGAGTTTAGTGACATGGTTTTGGCCAAGTCAATCTTGCCCAAAATGTGGTAACTTTCAAGTTAAACATTGACTGTCTTTATGTCTAGTTTTCCATAAAAGAATGACATTCATAAATATCGAATGATTTATATAGAATAGAAATAGCAGCTGGGACAGCAAAAATTGATAAAAAAAAAAGAATTCCTTTTCCATAAACAACTATGCTACACAAAATATATTCGAGTCATCTATTTCATGTTTAAGAAAATACTCAAATCTAGATAGAAGACCTAGGGGGAAGGAAGCAGCAATCAAATTATTATATTTTCCAAGTTTCGTAACTGTTAAAAGAAGGAAAAAAATATAACTGGTATTTGATAAATTGAAGTTCTATAAAGTGAAGTTACATGTGAATTGAAGTAACTAATAGGAGCAGGACTTACCATATCTAAGGCTCCTCTAATGACTCCACTTAATATGTTGCAATAGTACAGACCTTGGCAGTTGTCAGGAAGCTCAACAAAATCTACTAAGGGATTATCCTCCAAAACAATACTACAACATGTCCCATCCGCATCCCAATTGGTCACGGATGCAGTAACACCAAGGAACATTTTAAAACCAACCTGCATAAAAGCAAGATTTAAGTTGATAAAATTAAAAACTTAGCTTCTAGTTTAAATACACTTTACTAGTAATATAATTAATAAACAAACAAATATTGTTGATCAAACAACCAATAATCAATGCTTAAGCTTGTGAAACTTATGCCAATCAAAATGTCACCCAACTGTTGCATACTGAAATTAAACATTAATAGCCCAAACCCATCACAACATGTGAAAAAAGCCAGGGAATATAATAGAACAAAATCATAAAGGAACTCCTTATATGATATCCTCCTATAAACTTGGTCAAAGTGATTGCATATTGACTAAATAGCTGGTGACGACAAGTGGTTTGATAAAAAATAGGTATTCATCATTCTTAAAACAAATTTGGGAATAATTTTTTTTTTCTTAACTTTTGTTATAAGGTGCAGAGAGACAGAGAGAGATTGTTTTGCCAAAATAGCTAATCCCACTTAATGAACGCATGACTCTGATCAGGTTGACACTCTATATATGTTATTATATCAACTGGTCAAAGGCATAACTCTTTTTAGTGGTAACACTTATAATGGGCATACAGTGAAATTCAAGATAATAGCAGTTCATTATTTAATCTTAGCTGCGCATTATGCTGGAATCAGAATTATGGATGTCAATATGAATTTGAACCCATGAGTCAACCCGGCTCACAATGGTTTTGAGTGGGGTTGAGCTGAAAAAGTTCAAAGTTTTTTTTATGGTGGATCAAAACAAACCTGACTCATTTGAATCACGAGTTAAACTGGTTCTAGTTGAATTAGTGATTGGTTGACCTACAACCCAATTTTCTTTTTAAGATGGATGTGCAAAAGCATAATTGAAAAAAAATTAGACATTCCAACTAAGTTGGTATAACCCTGGAGTCATCAACCATTTGCAGCACATCAAATATTTTAACAAAAAACAAATACTAGACCTTTTCTATTTGAATCCCTAATAATCTAATTTATCCTATCCATACCTAAGTATGAGTCCATGAAGAAAGAGATCTTTTAGTTAGTCAACTCATCTAACCAACCTTCTTTAATAATAATATAAGGGGAAGAAGAAAAAAAGCTAGAGATCAAGGTGAACCAACTCATCTAAACAACCACCCATGAACTGTCCTATTTTTAACTCAATTTGTGGCTCACTTTGCACTTCATAACCCCCTCTGAAAAGAAAGTCACAAATGTGTTGTAAAGAATCAAGTTCAAATCTGTTACGAAACCACAACAGAAATAGGGAAAAGAATTTAAAGTAATAAATTATTTTATTGCCTCACTGAATATGAACAGAACAGGGAGAAAGTACCATACCTTTGCAATTACATCAGTAGTCTCTCTAAAATCATTGCATCTTGAGACATTAGACTTAGCTAAGAACTCATCAATCAAACGGATTCCAATATTATAACCCCTGAAAAAAAAAAATCAGCAACCACCAAAAATCACTGATGTAATATGGGTAATCTAAATATACACAGGGTAATTATATTATACTAACATACCCTCTTTCTCTTTAATCTACCTATTCAAGACTTCTTTTTTTCTGGTATGATCGGGTCACTTATCACACACATATTCTACTTATCTTCTGTTCCTTTTCTTTTCCCTTTCTATTACTAATTTTCTTCCAACAAATTATTACACGGTCTAGAATCACCACATATGAGCGAACAAATTTTCAGATAACACATAACTAAGTTTTTTTTATTGGCAAGGAGGAAAGGTTACTACACACAGAATCAATGAACCAAATAAAACAATTTTTTTTACATAAAACTATTAAACTGACAACATTTATCGATCGCAAAAGAAGATAGAGAGTCAAAGTTTTACATTTGATCAAGCTGCTTGTTAACCTCCTCAACCTCTTCCAGATCCGTGAGCAATTGACGCACAATGGCACCATAAGTCAAAGTAAAAAGCTCCGCATTCTGCACAATCCCGCAATTCAAACCAATTAGGATCTATGAACAAACTCGCTAACTCCACAAACTTCAGCAAAAAGAAAATTGACATTTTTCACGAAAAAAAGAGAAACAAAATCGAGGAGTCCACTGTTTACAGTGGAAATTAGTGTAGAATTGAGGGAAAAGAGAAATTTTGCAGTGTTATATTCTGGAAAACCAGACGGGACATAAAGAGGGTTTAGGATTTTGGAAAGGGTAACTTACAACGCGCTCAACATTAGCGAATATGGCATCGCCGGATCTAGGAGCGACAGGAGGCATTGTCGGAGTTCACTCAGTCTCTCTGCTTTGCTAAGATCTGCTTGGCGATGACAAGTGAAGCAAAGACGCAACTTTGGATCAGTGCCCACAATAAACATTCATTCATATTTGTTTCAACAATTTAATTTAATTTATTTTTTAAATCAATATTTTAAAACATATGTTACTTTTTTTTTATGCTTCAAATATATCTTACTTTAGAAGCATAAATAAATGGTCATTTCAACATATCTTACTTTAAAAAACATAAAATCAACGGTCTAAGAGAAGCTGTGAAGATTGCTTTAACTTACATAAAAATCTTTTTCTTTTTTTTTATTATTGTTATTATTATTTATTTTAATTTGCTTAACTTTTAATCACATGTAATTTTGTACAAGTATATATATATATATATATATATATATATATATATATATATATATTTACTCAATAAATATATTTTTTTTTATTATTTTCTGTTTCTTTTGTCTTTTATATATTTTAATAAAAATTTCATAAATAATATTTGCACATGATTATAAATTATTTTATTTTTATATACAAAATAATAAATTCTTTTCAGGATGTTACAAGGAAATGATGATTTTCAAGGAACTTTTATAATATTTTGTGTTATTTTATTATTAATTTAAAATTATAAAAAAAATCACATATATCAAGAGGTTAAGAATAAGTAATTTAAATATATATTTTCCAATTAAGTAAATGATAAATTATTATATTAACAATCAGTGTATTCAATTATATATTTTCAATAATTCAATATGTTTATTTAAATAATTAATTTATTATTTAATGAATAATTATAATCATAAAATCTAAATATAAGTTATATAATATTAAGAGTATTCTATATATTTATTATTTACTGAGAAAGGAAAACCCATCACGCATGTTGTATTAAACAGTATGTTGTTAGTCACACAGCCACACGTGCCCCTTTCTATCTCTGTATTAAATAAATCTCTTTTCTTCTAAACCTAACCACAACTCTCAGCATCCCTCCCGGGCAGAGAAAGCTATCATAGTTTCACCTCAGCCTTATCCAATTTAGGGTTTCTGTTCTTGACTCTTTCTTTAACCTATTGAAACCTAAATTTAGGATCAGGTAACATCTGATCATCCTCTCTGAGATTTTGATTCTTTTTGTGGCTAATTTTAGGGTTCGGCTTTCGCTTTATAATCCATCATCTAAGTTTGACTCAGTTTTCTCTATCGACTAATTTTACCGATATCTTACATCTTCTGTGGATTTGATTTTCCTATAGTATTGATTGGATCTTTCGGTTAGGAATCTTGTGGTTGTTGTAAGTGAAAAGGTGCGATTTTATTTTAATTCAATTTTTTTAGGTTGATATTGGTGTACAATGATTTTTGAGGCATGAGATCTGATTTCTGGTTGGTTCCTAGGTTGCTACCAATTTCAAGGCAAAATCTGAAATCTAGGAAAGGATTTCTAATTGTACTACTGGGGTCTTTTGAATTTTTTCTAAAACTAGTGTTTTAAATTGTGGCGAATAAACTGATCTTTAGTTTGTTTAATCTTTTCGATTTAAATCATTTAGGATAATTATTTAGCAGCTTTATTTTGATACAGAGGTCAGGAATTTTTAATACATGAGATTGTTATAGATGAAAATTTATCTAGTTTGTTGCTTAGAAGTACGTTTGATATGGATGGAGATTATTAATGACACGGATTTTGCTTTTGTAAATTTTTCAAGTGTGCTATTATTGTAATTCAATTTAGCTAAGTTTGCTGATTACAATATCAGGTCTGAGCAATCTGGTTGGTGGAATCTTTCGCCATAGATAGTCAAGGTTTATGTCTGAACTAGACGCCCAAATTCCTACTGCCTTCGGTATGTTATGAATTTTTGACATATATTTTAGTCTGTGGATTAATTGTCTTGTTAATGATCTGTGATATCTCTAAAGGTAAAGGGAATTATGTGTTATTGGCGTAATTTTTATTTTTCGATATATATTTTCCTCTCTATTATGTTATTGTATATGTGCATGAAGAATAAGATATCTGTTATTGAAATTTGTTACATCCATTTGTACTCCCTGTGCAGGGGTTTTATATTTCCCTTCACTTTTCAGTTTTATCAGCTACATCTTATTTTGAATACCTATTTGATTTCATTATATGGATGAACAAGAATGTTGTCCTGTACTTGCCAGACAATCTTATGTGTGTCTTTCATGAATAGATCGATGTGAATAAAGGATATGGTGTAGCTGGATGAGTTTTCTAATTGTTGGCTTATGGTGAATTTTATGTTGAGCATTTCATACATTGTATTACATTTTTAGTTTTATCATTGTGAAAGTTATGTTATTACACATGCTTGCCCACTATTGTATATATTATGAGGAGGAATACTTTGTGATTATGCCAAACAAGTTTAGTGATTGAATCTAATAAATGATGTGTTTGCCATACTGCTCAATTTATAGATCCTTTTGCTGAGGCAAATGCGGATGACTCGGGTGCTGGGTCAAAGGAGTATGTGCATATTCGCGTACAACAGCGAAATGGTAGGAAAAGTCTGACAACTGTTCAAGGATTGAAAAAAGAATTCAGCTATAACAAGATACTTAAAGACGTTAAGAAAGAGTTCTGTTGCAATGGCACAGTTGTTCAGGACCCAGAACTAGGACAGGTATGTGTTGACATTCCTGTCAACTAATGAATTTTTCCATTGTTGCCTGAAATAACATGTGTTTGGTTTTGTGATTGTAGGTTATTCAACTTCAAGGTGATCAGCGGAAGAATGTTTCTGCCTTTCTAGTCCAGGTAACTGTCCTCATCTTTGTGTTATGCACTTTGTTGTGATGATTATTTATCCATTTTGATTTTCATCTTTTGCAGTTCTCTTTTTTCTTTGGTATTTTTCATAATTGTGCTTCAAGGACTATTTTTTTAAATTATCCATTTTAGATTGTGCCTTTTGCTACTTTTTGTTGGGAATGACCTATAGTAATAGTGTAGGCAACTTCATATCCTTTTGTATAATACTCCGTTTGTGTATTGAATGTGTTGCAAACATATCCAATAGTTTTAAATTATATGTTAAATTTGAACCTAGGCCCTGCATACTCTGCTAAAGTGTAGAAACTTTGTTTAACATAATCTTTTTTGGATGCTTAAGAAAAAGAAAGTTAAGAAAAACGAAAAGGAAGCAAAAAAAAAGTAGATTTTATTTGCGTAAATCTTGATTTTATTGTAGTTGAATGAACTTTATTTGAAACAAATCATAGTTGAGTTTAGCACAATAGTTTGCGATATTATAACATTCTAGAATATGGATCAAACATTTTGTCACAGACCGACAAGTATATACTGGGATCCATTCCTCAAGAGATACAGGGAGAAAAATTCTACTTGTGGATTTGAAGAATGTTCCATGATATATTTGACACCAGGATTCTCATCTAATTATCTTGTTGGTTTTCTTCTATTGTAAAACAGGCTGGTATCGTGAAGAAGGAGCATATCAAGATTCATGGTTTCTAAGCTGTTGCAGTCTTAAGTATCGAGTCTTACCTGTGTGATATGTGCTGGGCATAAATAATTTGAGTGCCAGTTATTGTGGTATATCTAGTGTGTTAAGGTATTTAACCATGTGATGTGGGATTATTATGGATTTTAGAACGTTGTGTGTTATTTCTTTTAAAGACATATATGAAAAACCAGTTTAATGGACTTCTATTCTATACTTTTCCTTTTCACTTGTGAAACGAAATAATGAAGCTGACTCAGAAACCGAGAAATGAAACGAAAAAATGAGAAATAGATTAAGAGAAAAAAAAATCATTATTTTATAATCAGTTTTGTAACTCTTAATGGATTGTGAGAATGTTTTTAAAGCCATTTAACCCTACAAGCAAATACTATGTTCTGTAACGTATTGTGTATTGTTCTTCATCGCTCTTCATATTTTTTGGGGGAAAAAAACTCCCATGGTATTTATGAGATATTTTTCCCATATTTTACGATTATCATTCTTTTTTTCACATTTTACATTTATCAAATTATTTTCACTTAAATTTTTTGGAATTTTAAGATCATTAATAGGTAAGACTACACATTTGTGGATTCAATTGAATTTGGCCATTTTATTGAATAATAGTTATTTTTTAAATAAAAATAAAAATAATATTAATTTATTAAAAATATTTTTTATAAAATAATTATTTTTTAAAAATAAAAATATAAGTAATATTATTTTATTTAAAATATATATATATATATATATTATAAATTTTTAAGAGTAAATATAAAAGTTAAATTTTTAATAATTATTTATTTTAAATATTTAATAATTATAATTAATTATTATTTTTAATTAATAAATTATTAAAAATAAATAAAAATAATAATAAGTAAATTTTAAATTTTTATTTTAAGATTGAATTAATATATTTTTAAGATTGAATTAATATATTTTATTATAATTTATATATTAAATTATTATATCATAAATAAAATTAACTTTATTAATAGAATTTAAATTTTTTAAAAATATATATTTAAATATTTTTAATTAATTAATATTTTTTTAATTCAATCAAATCAATTGATTTGGTATATGAGACTGGGTTAGGATTAGGCTAGAATTTTTTAAGTCATAAAATATTTTTTGTTGAGGATCGGGCTAAGTTGGGCCAAACGTTCTAAAATAATTAATTATGAAATTGATTTTGATACTAACTCAAATTTGAGTGTATAAATGATGTACTATGACTAATTTCTTATTTAAGATAAGATATTGACCTTAATAACTTTTTTCTTTCAAATTTTACTAAAACTCAACCACATTCTTAAAAGTTGTTCAACAAATATTCAAATATCACCAAATGACTTTTCAGCAGTCTTGAGATTTGTTAGTCTTGTTGATTTATAAGACGACAAGTCAAGAATTGTTGCATAGATCTTCCAACTTCGTCTACTTCTATAGTTATCATGTTTGGCGAAGAAGAATGACTTCATCCACATATATATATATATATATATATATATATATATATATATATATATATATATATATATATATATATATATATATATATTAAAGGCTATGAATCAAATATTAAATTATGTGAAGAATAATAATTTACTGAACAATTAATTAAAAGAACATTTGGAAAATATTAAGTTAATCCACACAAGTGAGAAAATTATATATCATAATGTTAAAAAATTATAAAGATACATATTTGATTATCTTTGTAATACACTATTTTATAAATTTTAAATTTTATTTAGTTTGTGAAATTTAAGAGTGACAACGAAAAAAGAAAAACCCACGTTCTTGTACAAAGGAAAAGTTTAAGAATGGTTAAAAGTGACATAAATTTTTTTTGTAATAAGTATTTTCTTTTTTTTACTAGAACTAACATAGATAATGATTGTATTTAAAAGTGATTAAAATTTATTTATAATTCAGTAGGATTAGTATAACTTTTTATCAATTATAAAGAAAAAACTGGACATAGTTCAAAAATAGAATGAATCAATATAACATTTCAATTTATACTTCTTTTCTAATTTTTTTTATTATTATTATATATAGAGAGAAAAGATTATTATAATAATTGATTAATTTCAACATTTATTTTAATACTTCTCGTATTAGTTGAATTATTTTCATTATTTAATTAATATTATATTAGTTGTTTATTAAGGAGAGTCTTAGCAATAGTTTAAGATGTGTGAAGAATATCATATAAAAGAAATATTTTCATTTTTCATAATTAAAAGAATATAATTTCAATTCCTAAAACTTAAATTTGAGAAATTAAAGTAAATTTTTTATTTTTTATATTTTTCATTTCTTCAAATTCAATTTTTAACAGTAAAATTATATTTTACTAATTTGAATTTTATCGAATTTGAAGTTTTAGATAATTTTACTAATTTAAATGTTATCAAAATTATTTTAAGTTTAGAGACTAACAAAATTAACCCAATCAAATACCATTATAAAGTATTTTCTTTTTGAGAAAAGAAAAACTCCCCAACGCGTGTTATCTACGCAATGTTAAATAGTAAGTTTGTGATAAGTGACACACGCTTCGCAATCTCTATTAAAATAAATTAATTTTCTTCCAAACAAAACTATAACTCACCGCTTCAGAGACAGAAAACTATCAAAGTTTCCTCTCAGCCTTATCCAATTTAGGGTTTCGGTTTTTGACCCTTCTTTTGACTATCGAAACCTTAAATTTAGGATCAGGTAACCTCCGATTATCCTCTTTAAGATTTTGTTTCTCTTGCTAGGTAATTTTAGGGTTCGGTTTTCCCTTTATCATCCATCATTTAAGTTTGACTCAATATCCTCTCCCTACTTTTGTTTGTCCGATATCTTATATCTTTTGTGGATTTGATTTTGATATAGTCGTGATCGGATCTTTCAGTTAGAAATCTTGTGTTTGTTGTCAGTGAAATGGTATTTTTTTTTTTTAATTCAATTTTCTTGAGATTGATTCTGGTGTGCAATGATCTCTGAGTTATGGAATTTTTCTTTTGTGATGGTTTTTTTGACCGAGTGGTTCCTAGATCGTCACTGCCGATTTCAACACAATATCTGAAATCTAGGAAGAGATTTTGTTTTATGCTACTTATATCTTTTGAATTTTTTTAAAATTAGTGTTTAAAGTGTGGCGTAGGTTAAACTAGTTGTGGGATTGTTTAATCGATTTCATTTTAAATAACTATTTTGGAGCTTTATCTTGATACAGAGGTCAACAATATTTTAATACATGGGATGGTCATTGATGAAATTTTATCTAGTGTGTTGTGTTGTGATTTTTTTGATGCGATGGAGATTACTAAGGACAGGGATTTTCCTTTAGTAATTTTGTGAATAATATTATTACGGTAATTATTTAGCTAACATGTCAATTGCAATGTCAGGTCTGAGCAATCTGGTTGTTGGAACCTTTGGTCATAGAGAGTCAAATTTTATGTCTGAGTTAGACGCACAAATTCCTACTGCCTTTGGTATGTTGTGACCTCTTGACAACTACATTTTCATGATATGTGATATTTAGTAAACATCAGTTCTGGTTATAGGTGTGTGATGAACATGGCGAAGTATACATAGATTGTCTTTTCTATATATGTTTTCTCTCTTAATTCTGTCGATGATATATGTACTTGCAGAACAGGATATCTATTGTATATACTATGAGGCGTGCTTAGTTACCCAGATTATGTCAAGTAGGTTTAGTGGTTGAATTTAATAAATAATGTGTTGCCTTCCCTCAATATATAGATCCTTTTGCTGAGGCAAATTCTGATGACTCGGGTGCTGGGTCAAAGGAGTATGTGCATATTCGCGTACAGCAGCGAAATGGTAGAAAAAGCCTGACAACTGTTCAGGGATTGAAAAAAGAATTCAGCTATAACAAGATACTTAAAGACGTTAAGAAAGAATTCTGTTGCAATGGCACAGTTGTTCAGGACCCAGAACTAGGACAGGTCTGTGTTGACATTTCTCTTCAAATAATTCTCATTGTTTCTTGAAGTAACAAGTGTTTGTGGTTGTAGGTTATTCAACTTCAAGGTGATCAGCGGAAGAATGTCTCTGCCTTCCTAGTCCAGGTAACTGTCCTCATCTTTGTGTTTATGCAGTGTGTTGTTATGATTAGTTATCCATTTTGATTTCCATCTTTTGCTGTTCTCTTTTTTGATATTTTTCATAGTTGTGTTTCAAGGCTAATGGCTCATTGGAATGGCTGATTTTAGAGAATAAATTTATTGATTGTGCATTTTGCTGCCATTTTGTTGGTTTTGGGAATGATCTAGTAGTGGTGTAGCCAACTGCATATCCTTTTGAAGAATATTCTGTATGTCATTTGAATGTGTTGCAATCATAGCTTGATCAGTCTTTTCACAATTAATTTGGCATTTACATATTAGAGACCGAAACCAATATTTTAGACGTATATGTTGAATGTGAACCTAGGCCCTACATACTCTGCTAAAGAGTATAAAAATTATTTAACTTAATCTTTTTTGGATGCGAAAAGGAAGCAAAAATAGATTTTATATGCGTCAATCATGGTTTTATTGTAGCTGAATGAACTTTGGTGAGTACAGATCATAGTTAGGTTTAGCACAATGGTTTCCAATCTTAATTGAATTGATGGTATCTGTAACAATGTACAAAGTGGATGAAATTTGTTGAGTCAAATTCCTCCAAGCAATATTGTGGCGGGGGGGGTATTGTAATTGTTTTTGAAGAATGCCCCATGAAATATTTGTACACCAGGATTCTCCATCTAATTATCTTGTTGGTTGATTTCACCTACGAATGTGAACAGGCTGGTATCGTGAAGAAGGAGCATATCAAGATTCATGGTTTCTAAGTGGTTGGTGTCTTGAGTGTCAAGTCTTACATGCCTTAACTGTGTTGGGCATATATAACCCTAGTTGTGTCTGTGATTGTGGATTTCGTGTGTTCAGATGTTTTACCATGTGATGTGGGTTATGGTTATGGTTATGGATTTTCGAACATTTTGTGTTATTTGCTTTCAAGACATATATGAAAAACCAGTTTAATGGACTCTTATTTGATCTTATTTAACTTGGTGTTTCCTTGAAATTAAATCATATTAGTTTAATAATAACTTAGAAAAAGTTGGAGCTTTGAAGACTGTAGCTCTTGTAATTCGTCCCTTAAAATTTCCCCGTACGAAAGGAAAGAGAAATTCATTGGAATTGAAGATCAGAACAACTTTCTGGGCACAAAATTTATTTTCATTTTATATTTGTATTATACTAATTGTTAGATGTTTAGTATATGATGAACCGAAGAATCCATCTTCAACAAATTGATACCAATTGTGTTATACAACTAGAACTAAGATTTCTTACAAGTTTGGTCTATTGTTAACCCTAGAGTGGAACATTAGCAACATGGAAAAGTCGTATGATATGTATTTTCGTTGCAATATTATATTCCCATTAAGCACTGTAACTGAAGTTTAAAAGATGTAAACACCAAACCTGTAAAGGGATAACCAATCAAATGCCAACGTAGATTGATGCTCTATTCAGATAATTCAGTGATAGAGGAATGCCTGGCTACCTAGAAAATCTGTGTAAGATAAAACGTGTAATGAATGAATATGGCTTAATGGAGACAATTGGAGGTGTTAAAGTAGGTTATTGTAGGTTAAGATGTAAGAATGTATTGGTTGGGTGGGGATGTCCTTTTTTAATTATAAAGCAAAATAATTAAATATGTATATTTTTTAATATAATTTATTTAAAAAAATCTGTTTGGTCTATTAGTCTATTTTATGATTTCACTTAAAACTTATGAATTATATGTTAAATGACATGGATCAATCCAATTCAGTTGTGAGGTGTCTTATAATCTCTTGAAAAAGAAGGTAATTCGTTCAAAAGTACGAAAAGATACTTTCTTAATTTTTGGTTACTAGATTGAAAAATAGATCATTTATAGAATTTTTTTGTAGTATTTTTATAAAAAAGTTTTATATTTATAAAACTGTATAATTATTTATAAATATAAGACAAATTAAACTTATAAATATAATAATAATTATAAAAAAATATATAATGGATATTTTATTTGACTATTTTTTATTATTTTTGTCGTAAAAAAGGTTTAAAATTTATATTTTTTAATAATTTGGCTATAATGAAAATGACAAATTAATCCAAACTCTAAATTTTGATTTGATTTAATTTAAATTTCTTATTAAATTAAAATTAAACTAAGTTTGTGACTCAATTATTTATTTAATAAAAAATTGTTATGGAATCAAACTCAACAGCAAATTATCTGGAAAGAGATATAATAGTATTTTTAAGTCTTTTTCTTTTAGAGATTACTAGTATTTCTCAATGGGTCAAACTTTATAGACTAATTTAAATTTATTGCAAGTCAAACTTCAAACTAGTTAGAATATTCGTAATCCAAGACCCAACTTTGATAAGAAAACATTTTCATTTGTTGAATATTTACATTAACATGTCAAACAGTAGCTCTTATAGAATACTTATGTCTCATTTTATAATGAAAAAAGGAGCAGGATTTTATGCAGATTATGTATTTCCACTGTAGCTCTCAAAATTAGTTGCTACAAAAATATGTTATTCGGGTGTTTGATTTAGAAATTTTAATGTTCTGCAGCAGTTTGATAAGCTTATGTTTTCAACGAAATTGAAGAATTTACAATAATTGTTTTGAATTTGTTTTATAATTATTTTAAAAAAAATTACTAATTTCTTTACAAAACATAAGTTTTGAAACGTTTTTGGTTTATTTAATATTTTTTACTGAGTAACTTTAGCACTACTTAATATTATTAACTTGAGCATGTGACTCCCAACTTTAAATTAATTAGAAGTTTTAGATACTCTGATTTTCTATCTGTAGAGAAAAAACTTTAATATTGAATAAAATAATAATAATAATTTTATTATTATTATTATTATTATAGTTACAATAAAAATAAGTAATGAATAAATTTTTAGAATCTATTTTGTATATTCTCTGGTCCAGATACTAGATGAAATATTTGAAGGAATAAACTCATCTTTATCAAGATGACAAATACATTTTATGTTCTATACTTTCAATAAGACCAATTAAAACAAGTCACATACTTATGTTCGGAAAATACAGAAATAAAATTTTTTTAAGATCAAACTACCAAATCAAAATGGAATAGACTAACAAACAATGAGAAACCTAAAAACTTCTCTTTCTATTGAAATACTAATTATTCGATTCTTGTAAATTTAATTCATAGAAATTTCGTTCAATAAAATAAAAATATATTATTTTATATAAGGACGAAAATGTTCCTATAATTTTATTCTTAAAATTTTAATAAATTAAAAAATAAAATATATATAAATTATTCTTATCTCCTCCACCGAGTAAAATTATTATAATATATATTATAGCACTGGAATAAAAGATTGAGGAATGAATTTATAAAAAAATTAATTGTATAAATTGATTTTAATATCTTAGAAAGACATATTTTTTAACTATTTATTAAAAATGATAAAATTGTTATTTTTAAAACTAATATTAAAAATTCATAATAAAAAGATGATTTATAATCAATTAATGATATAAACAAATATATAAGAAAAAGTATAAAATAAAAATAAACTATATAAAAAAGTCATAAAAAATAAAAACATTAATTATATTTTCTTTCGCACTACTAAACCAATTATTTTTATAAAAAAGACAGATAAAAGATACAAAACACACTATCAAAATTGGTATTTGCTGATAGGGGTTATAGTCATATTTTCCAAATGAAATTTTTTTGTTTTAGATGATCTTTAAATATCATTTTTATTAGGAGTCTCATAAATAGGAATAACAATTAAACTTACCGGTGGGACTGACCCATCTCAGCTCTGAGTTTGACGGGAAAAACCCGAATTGACCGGGGCGGGGCAGATTCAGGTTTTTTTTCGTTTTAAAAATTCGAGGCAGGGACGGGGATAGGTAATGCAATCCCCACCCTAACCCCGTCCTCGCCTCAACTTTATATTTAAATTTAAATTTTAAAATATTAATATTTTAAAAGTATTTCCTTTTCTTTTTCTATTACATATGAGGTCTTTTTTTTATATTTCACCAAATTTTTTTCTACCAACTTTTTAAATTTTTTGTCTTTTTTAATCTTTTATATCAATTAATTTATTACATTATTCTTTCTCTTACCTTTTAGTTTTTCACATTTCTTTAATATTTCCCATCAATTTGTTTTTTTTTCAATCTTTTCAAAAAATTTGATGAACACAAAGTTAATTTTTTTATTCTTTATCTTTTTCTAAATATTTTACATAAATCTTAATAGTAACTAATATTCTTTTATTTATAATTTATATTTATTATGTTTTATTATGTCATATTTTTTTTATCTTATTATTCTTATTTATCATATATCAAATTTTATCTTAATAAAATAATTTTATTTTAAAGGATTAAAAGAATTGATAATTTAAACTTTTATTACTTCGAACTAATTGAATAAGAATTAATTTATTAAATATTTCCTTATAAACTATATATTTCATATTTTTAAATAACAACTTAAAAATGAATTAACTTATATATATATATATATAATCAAATGTTTGAATACAGTATTATAATAATAATGTTATAAATATTCAAATATTTGAATACAATGTTATAATAATAATAATATTATAAATAAAAAATGATTAAATATTTCTTTTACATACATATTTTAATATAAATATAATAAATTAAAATATATATTTAATTAATAATAATTATAATTATTTATTTATATATAAAAAATAGATAGTAAAATTAATTTATTATAAATGTAATTATTTTTTTAAAAATAATATAGATCGGGACGAGACGAGACGGGCGGGGCGGGAACCCAAAACCTAACAAGTAACGGGGATGTGGACTTAATTTCTAACTCCGGTAGGAATCGGAGACGGAACGGGGATGTTTAAAAAGTCGGAGATGAAGATCGAAAGGCAAAACCTGGCCTCCTCCGCTGCTATGCCTACTCAGAAACCATCTAACTTAATCATAAAAAAAAAAAAAAAAAAACTACATATGAATTTTATTAATTAGTAATACTTTTCTTGAGATACTCTAGAGATCAATCTCTATGCAAATCTTCCAAAAGTGGAAGAGTCACCATGACTCATCTTGAAAGAACAACACACAAAAAATCAAATAGGTCAAAAGCATATGTGGCTTTTCAATGGCCCTTCATAAATTCAAATTTCTAAAGGACAACAACACCTTACGTAGTTTGATTTTGATCCTACAAAGTAGAAAATGAACCCGTATATTTTAATTTCAGAGTGCATGTGATGACAAAGAATGAACCCTTTTTGTGGCTAAATATCACAAAAAGTTTGTGAGATGGATTGAAAGCCCCTCGTGAACTTTGGCTAGTAATAATACTTTCCTACTGTAATTAAAAAGATTGTTTTTTTATTCATAGCAAAAAAGAAAAAAGTCTACCATTAATTTTAATATTTTGTTTTAAATTTTTTTGCTTAATAAATATTTTATATCTGTCTTAAAATTAATTTAAAAATACATTAAATTGTAAAATAAATGACTTTAAATAGTACTTTAAAGACAAAAATAAAACAAAATTTTATTAAAAATAGAAATTATTACTAAAAGTTACTTAAAAATATAAATAAATATTTTATTATAAATTTTACCTTTAAATTATTAAAAATAAAAAAAATTGTTTACAATTTAAAAAAATTACATAAATAAACAATTTTAACCAAATTTTAATCCACTCAACTTTAGAATTTATAATAAAATATTCAATTTTAATTATAAACCACTCTCGTTAAACTTCCATGGAAGATGCTGTAATAACAACCAAATCATGTTTAACCACCTTGTTACTTTGTAATTGAAATATTTCCAGAATAAACCGTTCTGTCTGTGACTGATGCAAATAACAACAAAATCTCTGCACTGTTGATTCACAGTAAACTGCCACGCGTCCTCCATGCACACATTCTGAGAACCGGTCCTCACAAATTTTCTTTACCCATTTTTCTGATGCGAAACTTTTAACTTTCCCATTCTTTCTTACGAACTCTCACGCGCATAAATACCTCACTCTCCAAAGCCAAGACCAACACAACTCTCTCTCTCTCAATCACTCTTTCTCATGGCTTCCACAGTCACCTCCTCCTTCCTTTCCACCCCCATCTTCGCCCCTCCCTCTTCATCCCTCTTCTCTCCCAAACCCACCCATGCCACCCCCACGCGCCGTTCTCACACCCCCCGCGCCTCCATGTCTGCCGCGCCCCCACCGCCCTACGACTTCGCCTCCTTGAAGTTCAACCCGATCAAGGAGTCGATCGTGTCGCGTGAGATGACGCGACGCTACATGACTGACATGGTCACGCACGCCGATACCGATGTCGTCGTCGTCGGCGCCGGATCCGCCGGGCTGTCCTGCGCCTATGAACTCAGCAAGAACCCTGCCGTCAATGTTGCCATTGTCGAACAGTCCGTCAGTCCCGGCGGCGGTGCGTGGCTCGGTGGCCAGCTCTTCTCCGCCATGGTCGGTAACTGTAACATCTGACTTTCTCTCTCTCTCTCTCTCTCTCTCTCTCTATATATATATATATATATATATATATTAAAGGCTATGAATCAAATATTAAATTATGTGAATAATAATAATTTAATGAATTTACCAAAGAGTGATAGAAAAATGTGAAGAAGATAGGAAAATATAATATAATATAATCTAATGGTATTGTGAACGTGGAAGTGCAGGTAGTGCGTAAGCCAGCGCATCTTTTCCTTGACGAGGTTGGTGTTGAGTATGACGAGCAAGAGAACTACGTGGTGATCAAGCACGCTGCGTTGTTCACTTCCACCATCATGAGCAAGCTCTTGGCGAGGCCAAACGTGAAGCTCTTCAATGCTGTGGCAGCTGAGGACCTGATCGTGAAGGATGGGAGAGTTGGTGGGGTTGTCACCAACTGGGCCTTGGTTTCCATGAACCATGACACTCAGTCCTGCATGGACCCCAATGTGATGGAGGCTAAAGTGGTGGTGAGTTCTTGTGGCCATGATGGACCCTTTGGAGCCACTGGGGTGAAGAGGCTCAAGAGCATTGGGTTGATCGATTCTGTGCCAGGAATGAAGGCCCTTGACATGAACAGGGCAGAGGATGCCATTGTGAGACTCACTAGGGAAATTGTGCCTGGCATGATTGTTACTGGGATGGAAGTTGCTGAGATTGATGGGGCTCCAAGAATGGTAAAAAATTCTCTCTTCATCTTCATGTGTTTTCTGTATAATGAATATTTTTTGAATAAATTTTTCTTTTCAACTTATGGAAAACTATAACTTGTTTTGGCTTCGGCCGATTGGGAATGCAGGGTCCAACATTTGGAGCAATGATGATATCAGGGCAGAAAGCAGCCCATCTGGCTTTGAGATCTTTGGGACTTCCAAATGCTTTGGATTCTGCAGAAAATGTTCATCCTGAGCTTGTCCTAGCTGCTGCTGAATCTGTTGAAATTGCTGATGCTTAGTCAATGTTGCATTAAAGTTAACCTGATACAGTAGTATCGATGCTCGCAACAAGAAATAATAAATGTAGTTTCAAAATTAAGCTTTGGGAGTGATGAAATGGGGTTGTTGATGGGACTCTCCATGAAGTTTTGGTAATAACACTAACGAGAATGTGTTTTTGCCAACTTTTTTTTTTCTTTCTTACTCTCTTCAAAGCACATTTATTTTTTAAAGAAAAAAAATATTTTGACACACTTCGTATTAAAACAATAATATTTTAGTTAATAAAAAAAATCGAAATATGTTGTTAAAGGGTTATTTTTTATTTTTTCAATTTCAAAATATCAGAATTTTTGTTCAGTTTCATATTGTGTTTAATTTATTTTATATTTTGAAAAAATTGACATCGAAATTACTGAATTGGTATTTTAGACGAGGTTTTATTTGAAAAAAAACAAAATATCTCTTATTACCTTACAATTATTATACAACTATTATAGGGTAATTTATCTTTATAAAAAAATTATAATAATTTATGGTGAAACATGAAATAGATAAGGTTATTTAAGATGAAATTAAAAGTTTAAAATTTTATAAAAATATTTTTTTAATTTAAAATTGTAGAGTTTTAAATTTTTTCAAAAAGTTTGAAAATTTTCATATTTGTGCTTAGTTTTGTTATTAATTATTTTAAATTAATTAATATTTTCAAACCAAAATATCATGATTTTATTAGCTCTAGTATTATTAAAAGTATTTCCCCCAAAAATAGTTCAAAATCTAAAATCACACGTATTTATAGATAGGTTAGCAATCAAGAATCATAATATAATCTCTTTATATTTTTAATTATTATTTTTTTAAAATCAAAATATTGATTCAACATTAAATAATAATAGCCAAACCATAATTTCTTTGCAATCCATAGATTAAGAACCTTAATATTATAAATCATCACACCATGATATATATTATGATTTATATCCATGATAAAAACATATTACCATGTCGCTTAGGAAAAACGAATATTTTAAATAAATAATTTTATAAATCTTTATTTGATATTTGTTTTGTAAAGAGATAAAACAATCCATATTCCAAAAATTTGATTCATTATCTATTCGATCGATGACGAGCGAAAAAGAAAAATAAGAGTTTCCAATTAAAAATTAGATGACATTTTAATAAATATATTTATGATTTCAAATACCAAATCAATCCTAATGTTTATGATATTTTCATAAAAATTATATTTCAATGAAAAATTAACTATAATATTTAATTATGTTTTAGTAATTAAAAGTCATAGTTTATATACACTTCTATTTTAATCTATCGATATATATTTTTTAAATATATTTTGTAAGGATAAAATAAACTCTAAAATAGATAATAGTTTTTTAGGAAAAACACCTATTGTTTATTTATTAAGTGTTTATTATTTTATAAAAATTTACTTTTTAATTTTATCAAAGTTTATTATAATTTCAGCACGTGGGAGACAGAGGTTTTATCAAATTTTGTAAAATAATCAACAGAAGTTTTGATTAGTCTGTTCAAGGTAATGGATATTTCTTAATTTAATTTTGTTTTACGAAATTTTATTTTATAATATTATTTAATCCAATTGAGATTTTAGTAGAAGTAAAAATGAATATCACTTTATGCAAGAAAAAGTATAATAGAATAATGATATGGCAAGAAATGAAATTCTAAATTAATTTTACTTGTACAAATAATTATTTCTTGATTTTTCTTCTTCTTTTATTGTGTAAAATACATTAAAAAATATAAAAAAATGGTTGCACATAATGATTTTTTCTGCAACCATGGTTACATGAAATATATGTACCAAAAATATGATTAGTATGACATACAACAATTATGTATACAATGGTTGGAACCCTTTTTCCAATTTTGTGATAAAATATAATTCAATTGTTTTAGAAGATCCAATGTTGTCTTCCAAACAAGGGCTCGGCAACACATCACTTGGTGAATGGAAAAACAAATATTGTGGGCTATATTTTCTTTTAGGAATTTTTAGCCTGCAAGAATCACAAATTTCTTGTATAAGTGGATAGCTAAAAAAATTCAATAGAAATAAAAGCTAAACTAAACCAAGCTAAAGCACAAGATGATTATATGTAAAAACATCAATTTTATAGGTTAATGCAATTTGTTTTCAATAGCATTATATGGAAAACATGATCATGTAAACAAAATAATGAAAGAGATGAAAAAAATTTTAGATTACCTTTCTTTTTCAAATACTTCTTGTGAAGTTTTAGTGCATTCATACAAGCTTTCTTGGCATCAAGATTTCCATTTACCTCGTTCAATATCTAAAAAGAATTAAATTAGATCATGAAAGAGAAATAAAATTTCATACAAGAGATAATAAAACCGGTTATACTAGGTCGGTCTATTAAAAAAATAAAAAAATATGAGATAAGATGATAATTTTATGTTACCAATTACCAGTCTAATCATTAACTTAGTTGGATGGAACGAGCGGACTCACTTTAAACAAATATTTATATATTAAAAAAAATTAAAAAAATTAAAATTAAAAATATTATTATTTTTATTATATTATTAAAATATATAAATATATTATAAATTATAGCTTAAATTATTAAAATTAATTAATTAAATTTAAATTATTTATTATAATTAATTTTTTAATTTATTTAATAAAATTATTAATTAATAAATAAAACTTAAAAATTATTCATATAATTAAAGATATATGACTAAAAAAATAAATATAAAAAAATATTTATATAAAAAAATTATTAGTGATCTAATTTATTAATCCAACAATCCGTCTTTTAACAATAATTCATCTTATTTATTTTTGATGAATTAAAAACAGGATGAATAATCCATCTTAATATCTCTAATGAATATCATATTATTAAATTTGTATTAATTTAATGAAAAGTTAAAAAGTAAAAATGAAGTGAGATGAAGAGATGAAACCTTGACAACATCGTCTAAGCCTCTTGCTTGTTGGAGTAAAATTGCACTTTTTTCTTTCAAGACACTTGCAACAAGGAAAACAGATATGGGAAATGGAGGATCTTCCCCATTCTTTGCTCCACTTCTAACATTTTCTCTCTCATATTTTCCATAATGACGTAATGACTTTACTCTTCCTTTCGATTCCTCTAAGTCATCAGCCTCCTCGTACATCCAAAACAAGTCAGGATCATATTCCAGTGCCCACATCATCTGTTTCATTTTCTCTCATTAGTCAACTCAACAAAAAACATGTAATAGGTCAACCCAAAAAAAATATACTCAACCAACTAAAACAAACCTCCCAAAGGTACAATGAGTCACAAAAGGAGAATTCTCTTCGAAACAGAACCATTATCATCCGAAAAGCAAACAGATAGTCTCCTCCACCAATTTGTTCTGTGAATAATAATGTAACATGTTCATAACAAAATAAAAATAAAAATGCATTAATATGTAAGATTTTCTGCGTTCATTGAGCGCACATAAAAATAGACACAAGAAAAATACCTATATGTTGATGAAGTTTTGGATCAATTACTTGAGTGATTGTAGCCAAATTACTTAATTGAGTCTCCACCCCAACAGAGTTCTCAGTGCATCTAAAATTTCCTCTCTTGAAAAAATAAACAATTTAGATTGTAAGAATCAAAATTGTATATCATAATTAACAGTTAACTTATCACATGGAATATACTTTTTCTTTTAACAGATTTTAATTTCATATAAGATGGTGAGTTTTCAAATTTTGGGTTTGCAACATGTAATAAAGGGCATATTGACTTGTTTTTTTAATAGATAGGATTAGAGTTTACCAATCTACGCATCAAACGCTCAAAGCACCAAAATGCATCAGCTTCATCATTAAGGAGTATTATCATAGGAGAGCACAGGTCACTCATTCCTGCAAAAATTATCACCATTAAGTCAAAATTACGTTAACTATGAGTTAGGGTTTTAAAGTTACATGGAATCATCCTTCATGTTAAGATAAATAAGATCTAAAAAGAGTAATAATAAGTTGTGTGTGTTTAAAATGTGTTAATGCAAAGTATTTAAGATTGAAAAACTTGACTTATTCAAAAACTCACCTTGACCATAGCCAACATCTGAATCTATTCGAGCATAAACACTGAGAATATCCCACAGTTTTGCCAAGTTTTCTTTCTTTTCATAAAAAACTAATGTTCTATCTGTGCGAACCACATCAAGACCTGAAACATTTGGGTTTATGAGGAAGAGAATTACATCCTCAAACTTGTATATGAAGCATGGTTAAAGATTCACAAACCTATTTGATGGAGCGTTAACAGCCATTGAATAATTCTGTTGTCAGTGATTTTTTCTAGGTTATTATTTGGAGCATTAACCTCTTGGGGTACGATTGGTCCAATCTCAGGATTATTTTCTAACATAACCAATGGATCTTGAGTTTGTGTACCATCTGCAGTAACTACAGGTCCTGTGATAAACCTGCCACTTCCTACAAGAGGAAACAATATACGACATTCTTCTTTCCATGTATAATATAAATCCCTGACAACATAATTACAGCAAAAATTTCAGACATCGCTTTACATGATCCATGTCAAATGTTGAACTCAAGGTTCTTGAAACTCAGAATGTTTACCTTCTACGTTGTCTTATCTCATCTCTTTCCTGAAAAGAACTCTTGGGATCATAGCAACCAAGAAGGAATTCCCAAACTTCTCCCCTAATCGATGGATGAATTCCCTGATTTGTAAAACATAATCAAGTGGGATAAATTATATTTTTGAGATTTCTTATATATACTAACTTGCATATTTTGATTACCATGCAAGTGAACAAAGAACAAAAAAATGGTATACTTAAACATATAATAAAACACAGATTTATTAGGAGAAAAAATTGAATTATACCCCTCGGTGTATTCGACCTAGAGTCTTGCCTATATCTAGATATCCTTCTGGAGAAAATGCAGCATGCCATTTTCTTGCACTTAATGTTTTCCCAGCCTGGATCACATAACAAAAAGCTTACATTAAAAGCATATATTGCAACAACTAAAAATCAAAATAAATTCATTAGTTATTAAGCAAACGCGTATAATTTTTCTAATAAAATACAAAATTATGTAATTAATATGTGATTTAGATATTTGATTATAAGAGTAATCTCATTTATACCTATTTTCTTCTCTTACAAGTGGTAAAGTTATATTACAGTGATTTTATCAATATATTTTCTCCAATTATAAATAATTAATTTATTTTTTTCTAAATATGATCATTGTTATAATACCCGTTTGAATTATACATAATATTGTAAGAGGTTTCCAATTTCAATACCCGTTTGAATAAAGTTTCACAGAGTTAATTAATTAACCTAAAATGGAATAACTGAACATTCCAAAATGATATGAAATGCATTCATGAAATTCCATTGACATAGCTATTTAAAACATTGCTGATGTAAGATGAAGATAAATTCCCTTGAAAAGTGGAAGAGAAAACAAACCTTGATCCTAAATTTAGACTTTGGAACATCAGTGCACTCGGGACGAGTTTCATAGAAAGAATCAGCGGGAGCTCCAGGATCTCTCCACATCCCAGAAATCAGAAGTTTTCTCAGAGAAATGAATGAAAATGATTGTTATATCAGCAAACGTGTCTATACCAGGAGTTGGATCCCTTTGAAATAATGAATCAAATCCAAGAAATCAATCTTCAACGAAGAGTTCAAAGGGGATCCAACCAAGGTTCAATAGTAGGGCCAAGTTCTAAAGCCGAATACTAAAAAAAATTGAAAAACTTTTTAAAAATAATTTTTTTATTTTTTTTAGTAAATTTGCTTTTGTGGGGTTAACAATGGTGTTTGTGTGTGAGGAAGGGAACTCACAATACTCTGTCAAAAATAATCACAACCTCACAAACTCCAACATTTTCCGTTTAATGCGTAAATTTCCACAAACTATTTTCTTTCTGCTTCAATTTCTCTCCTCTCATTAGTTTTTCATCGTTTCTATTTTATTTTTATGTCTACTTTTTCTATATCATGTCCAGGTACAAGTTTTAACATTCTTCAATCACTACCTTTTCTCATGTGTCATTTGAGAATGGAAAAAAAAAGAAGGTTAATTAGGTATCAAACAAGCAAAAAATATTTGTTAATCAGAAGATATTATTCACATCCCATTTTTGCTTCTTCCATTTACCATTTTTAAATTTTTTTGTAAAATATCTTTTTACAAAAATTAGATTTTGTAGTTTATTTACTGAAATTTGGTAAACTAATTTTTGTAATATATTGTAACATAACTGCATTACATAAACTGATTTCTCAAAAATCTTCGAAAAAGTAGGGGTGGTAAAAATAATATTTTCGGATTAAAAAACGAAAAAAGGAGGGTATGAAAAGAAAAAAAGGATAAAAGAATGAATAACATGGGCCTCGTTAATTTTTGCTATTTCATTGATTGATTTAATTTTATTTTTTATTTTTAAAAATAATTTTAGAGATAAATTAAAAAAAAATATTTTTAAAATAAGTTGAAAAATAAACTTGTTTGATAATTCTATTATCGAAAATGACTTTAGATGAAAATAAAAGTAATTATTATCACTTAAAATTAAACTAAACAAGTAAGTAATCTAAATAAGTAATATTTTTAATGGTTTTTTAAAATAAATAATTATTTAAAAAAATCCAAAAGCATTATTAAAGGCAAGTTAGATCAACATTGAAGAATGATGTATGCAGTTTTGTGACCACGCCATTCTCAATCCCTCCGTAATACATTTTCGCTATTTTTTGTTTATTTCCTGTTTTATATGTAATAACATACATATACTGTGTTTCTTCTTCCTTTTCAACAAATACTATTTCTATGCGTTTCCACAAAAGCTGTATATCTTTCTATACACTTTTGAAGCATCCAAAAATATGCAAAACCTTTCTCGTTAGTGACACTGAAAAAGGTTGATGAAATTTACCAAAGAGGATTAGATCATAAAGGAGATAAGACTGAAGAGCAAAAGTCATTGCAGAAGGCATAGAAAAAATGCTTGCAGAGTGTTAACCTATCACGTATTGATGAAGGAATAAATAGAACACAACACAGTCACACACATCATTATAATCATCATTGCCGCCATTAAAAAGCTTCACATTAAAACTGAAGGGTATGGAACAATTTAGACTTTAGACACATCATGTGTGATTAGCTAGTTTAGCCCTATGTCACAAGACATGAATATTCTTGATAGCACTGAAGCAAAGCACAAACCCACACACCAAGTTATGAGAAAGATTCTGAAAGAGCTCATAGTCCAGATAATAAAAGTGAACTTGTGCTTTGCATCAGAATCAAAGTAAACCCTAACAGAAGGGAGAATAATCAAAAGTTGTATTAGCTTCCCTGCCACAGTTCCATGCAACCTACACCTACATAAACCCTCATCATGGTTCAATGTCAGTCATCCCTCTAGCTTCAAACATTTCCAACATTAGTGTTCCAAATTTTTCCCCTTCTCAAAATCTGTTATCTTCCCATGGCCACATTCATCTTAAGATCTAGCACAGCAGTGCATGCCTTTGGCTGGCTTTGTCTTCTGCTAATGGTGCACAAGGGTGCTTCCTATGATTTCGTAGTTGGTGGCCAAAAGGGTTGGAGTGTTCCAAATGATCCCAGTTTCAATCCTTTCAATCAATGGGCAGAAAAGAGCCGTTTTCAAATTGGAGATTCCCTTGGTGAGCTCTGGTTGAATCTATATGCTTGTTATTCATATTGTTTAACGTTTCACTTTCGATCTGACATATTTCTAATTGGGTTAATGAATCATTCTTATATTCTTTGGTCATAAATTAACCTTCTCGTTTCAATTTATCATTGTTATATATGTTAATTATATCAAATAGTGGTTTTGAAATCTAAATTAGGAAAAGCCATTTCATCTTTATTCCTTGTGCTTAAAACAAATTCCTTCCACTTTTCTCCTAATTAAGATTTTTGTAACTAGTTTTAGATAAATATTCTAGCACAAAAGTTCTTTAACTCTCTCTCAACTTCAAAGATTTAGAACCCTGAGTATATTTCTATTTTTCTCAACACAAAATCTCACTATCAATCACACCCTAAGAGAAACTTTTACATATATGGTTTGCAGTGTTCAACTACCAGTCTGGCCAAGACTCAGTGCTCTATGTAAAGAGTGAAGACTACGCCAGCTGCAACATCGATTCACCTTATGCAAAATTCTCTGATGGCCACACAGTCTTCAAGCTAAACCAATCAGGGTCTCACTTCTTCATAAGTGGAAGCAAAGACAACTGCCTCAAAAATGAGAAGTTGACAGTGATTGTGCTAGCTGACAGGAGCAAAAACACCAACCAAACTACCAATGCTTCCCCACCCTCACCACAATCATCATCTCCTTCACCACCACCTACTGGCCAAGAGGGTCAATCTCCAACTTCAGACACAAACCAGACACCAGGCCCTGTCAGTGGACCTCCCCATCCCAATGCTGCTACTTCAGCCTTTGTCTCCCTTGCTGGCTCTGTTGGAGCATTCATGGCTGCAGTGGTAGTTTTATCTCTCTAAACATGCATATGAGTGGTTGAGTATTTGTTCCATTTTTTTTTTTTCATACAATTCTTTTATTTTTCTTTTTTCTGTTCTTTGTTTCCTATACTTTGAGTTCAGAACTATTGAACTGGCTGGTCTTTGGTTCAAAGTTGGGATGTTTGCTATTTGTTTGTGAAGATTGAATAATAAACTGACAATGATTTGCCCTTCCGTGTGCTACTTTCTTACCCCATTATGTATAAATGCTGTTCATCTTGAAATGTATAAAACCTTTTTTTTTATTTATTCACATAATGCATTATGTTTCGTGAAAATATTAGATGAGAACAACAAATACTTTCTTCGAAAAAAAATCGAAAATATATATAATATCTAACAGTATTACCCTGAATGAATGGTGTCAAAAAACAGAAAAAGAAATATATCAATATTTTTTACTGTCAGGGAGATAATAGATATCATTCACTTATTTGGTTTTTTTTTTTTTTTTAATGTTGAAACAAAGTATACTTTGAGGAAGAAATAAGGTCTTGCTTTGTAGAAAATGTGAATATATATAGGCTTATACTTTAAGAATAGAAAATGAAACGTGATTGAAAAGGAACATTTAAATAAATAGATATTTTACAATATTTAAAGTTGAGATTTGATGAAAAATGAAATCTTAATAGAAATAATTAATAATTTAAAAATTAACAAACATAATAAATAAATTGTATATAATTTTGTTAATGTATTTGTTAAAAAATAATAATATAATCGGATTGTTCTACTGTTAAAAAATGAAAATCATTCCATAAATTAATTCAATATAAGCAAGAAAAAACACTATTAGCGATCGAAAAAATCGGTCATTAATGGCAAAAAATCGGTCGCTATTCCGTTAGCGATCGAAATTAGCTGACCGAAATGGTTGGTCGCAAAAGGTCAAGTCGCTATGTTAGCGACCGATTTACATTTCGGTCGCAAAATAGCGATCGATAAGGTGGTCGCTAAATAATTTGGTTACTTATTCCTTAAAGACCAAAATAGCGACCGTAATTAATATAATAAATCGATCGCTAAATCGGTGGTAAAGTTTTAAAAAAATAGCGACCGATATATTCGATCGCTAATATATTAATTAAATTATTTAAATAATAATTAAAATCGATCACTAAATCGATCGCAAAAATAGCTGACTGAAATTAATATACTAAATCGGTCGCTAAATTGGAGACAAAGTTACTAATAATAGCGACCGATATAATCGATCGCTAATACATTAATTGAATTATTTAAATAATAATTTAAATCGATCGTTAAATCGGTCACAAAAATAGTGACTGAATAAATTTGGTCGCTAAATTTAAATTGTATATTATAATATATTTGTAGTGACCAAAAATTCGGTCGCTAATCTAACCAAATTTGAAAATTTTTGTTTAAAATTTTGTATATCCAATTTTGCAAAATTTGTACCTGCTTAATTGATCCAAACAGAACACAAATGAAAACTTAAGAACTAAAGTCAAATTATTCAAATCATAATAAGAACAATTCAAAGTCATAACAGAAATAAAATGTTTCTAAACAACTACTCAATATTCAAAGTCTTAATATCATAAAATTGAAAATTAGTCCTTTGGTATATTGTCGATGATCATGTTGACTTGTAGTAGGATGACTATTCATTTGAATATGTTGTAAAATAAGCTGCATCTGCTTCATCTGCTCATCTTATTGGCGTTGGTTGTTCCTCAACTCCTGCATCTCTTCTTGAAGTGTCTTCTCCTTATTATGCTTTGCCACCAATTCAACATTTAACTTTTCAATAGTCTCACGCATTTGTTCAATTTGATGAAGTACTAGAGTTTGAGTAATAGAAGATTGAGAACCTGATGTAGTAGTGAACTTTTTGCTCAATGTACCAAGTCCATACACATTTCCTTTTTTATTTTCACCTCCAACAACTGAAAAGTATATTTCATTATCATCAATAGAGATAATAGGAGACTCTTGTGAAGATGAGCCTTCACGCAAGTTATGTTGATGGACTTCTTCTCTGCGTTGCATATATTGTTCCTAAAAATGAAGTGAAATATAATTATTATGAAGAAAATATATATTGAATAATAAACTATAACTTAGATGTTAAACATACGACAAGATAACGAGTTTTTTCATTGACCCATTGTCCAGTCTTTAATTTCTTTGTCCTCTCAACAACCTCCCAAACGGTTGGTTCCTGTTGAAACTCCAGTAGTCTACACATTAAAATGAGACAAAATGCATTACGTAAAGTCTAATATATTGTATTAAATTACTTATATAAAAATATAATAAACTTACCATTTTCTCAAAGTGAGCTGCGATAGATATGGAACCCCCACGATGAGTCGAGGCACCCTTATCAACAACTCGATTAGCCTTGGCAATGACACTCTTGTTTTGGAAATCTGGAGAACTCCAATGTAAGTCCAAAGATGCTCGAACAGCTGGCGGTATCCAGATCCCCGTATCCTTACCATTCCTAACTTTGTTCATTGAGTTTTTTAAAATTCGAGAACCTTTCTTGTCAAAAACATATCTTATAGCTTGCTCTTGTTCCACATCCCATATATACTCTTTCTGCATTAAAAAAATACACAATAAACATTTAATTTATAAGAATGAAATGACATTGTTTAATGTAACTATAATTCAAATTACCTTGAACTCTCCAAACCATCTATCTCGAAGCTCAAGTGAAACCTTTCTCCAAGTGGGACTTGGTTCATCAAATTTTTGTTTGATGATTCTAGAGATTATAGCAGGAGGACCATTTCGTTGGTATAAACCCGTGTTGAAACATATTGTGGGATTGATATTATTAAGAAATTTCATATTAAAGAATTATAATTAAATTAAAACATACTTACTCTCCTTTGTCCGCTTGTAACCATGACCTTTGATCAACCATATTTCCGGACTCAACCTCGGTTGCGATCGACCCGAGTACTGTGTAGGTTGACCAAATGTCGCCTCGATAGAGAAGGTAGTAGGAATTGTTTCTCCTACTATAGCTACGGGAGATTCCTGCTGAGTTGAGGGAGGTGTGCGTTCTACAAACATAGGATTAGTAGACTCCATGGATCTTGGTCGAACGTGAACTAGGAGAGTTAGGGCTGGGTGAACCTCTATCATCAACAAGTACACCTCGACCACCACGATGAGGTGGTCTACGACCACCACTTCTACCCCTTTGTGGCATCTACAAGAGGATCTTATTACATATATAACATGCATAAAATTAAACAATTGAAACAATGAATTACCTGATTTTGTTTTCTACACCCAAACGTGTCAGTTAGCTTACCACTCATTCACTACAAATAATTAACTCATAATCATATCAATATATATATGTATATATATGCAATATTAAATAAAGGTGTACAATCAAATTTAACAATTGTAAAAATAATTTTAATGCATGAATTACCGAAGTATCTGTATCATCAAAATCACTCTCGAGTCTCATCCTCACTTGAAATATATTCATCCTCATCTTCATCTATATTTCTTTCATTTAGTAATTGTATATCTATTTCTTCTCCCCCACCATTAACATCAGCAAGGGAATCATCAATGAAGTTAGGATCAACACGAAGCACTACTTGAAGTCCTACAAGCTCATCATCTTGGTATGGAGTCTCATGCTCAACTCGATCGACTATATTATCAATGATTCTACTATGAGATTTTGTCTTTATTACACCCAACCAACCTCGGTGTCCCTCCGGATAACTTGTGCAATAAACTTGTTACGCTTGTTGTGCAAATATGAAAGGATCATATGCTTTATTATATCTTCGTGATTGCTTTACTTCCACGATTCCATACTTATTATCTACTTTGGTTCCTATATTAAGAGTATTGTCAAACCATTCACACCGAAAGAGAACTAAATTCATCAATGGCAAACCAAGTATACTCTAATTGAATAATATTAGACAATAATCCATAAAAATCTGACTCTAATTGACCATTGGTTCCTCATAAATAAACACCATAGTTACGGGAATTCATGCCTTCACTCCAAACAATAGTGTGGAATTTGTATCCATTGATAACATACATAGGCCATGATTCAACTTTTCTCTTGGGACCCCATGCCAAATTAACCAATAATGGATCTTCAATATTATTTTCTGGATTTAGAACCTAAAGACAACGAAAGTCCTTTACACATTAGATTATGTAAGTCGGAATAAATATTTGTAAGACATATAAGTCAAAAACTTACATATTTTTTAAACCATTTAGGAAAATGGGATGAAATGTCTTGGTCATTTTGGGCACCGAAATACTAGGATTTAGTCTGTCTTAAATATTCAATATAAATACTGCAAACACGTAACAAATTACTCAAACCACACAAAGTAACATGAGTAATTTTGATGTGAGAGGAGTGAAAACATCTTACTCAAAATATGGTTGAACCTCTTCACAATTTTGAAGAACATATAATTCAGTAGCATCATAGTCTCTTTGGTGCAGAAAATATGTTTGAGATTTTCCAATTGGTCTTCCTGGGTAGTTGAAAATTGAAATAGGAGGAGGGGATGAAGAACCTTCACCTACATGAACATTTCTAGGAATCCTAGTCCTTCTTGTTTCAACATGATCGGGATAATAAAATGAGGCAAATGTAGATGTTTCTTCCACCAAGTAAGCTTCACAAATAGAGCCCTCCACCCTAGCTTTATTCTTCAATTTCTTTTTTAAGGAGTGTAAGAATCTAAAAAAGAATACAAAAATGGAGTCTTTAAAGAACATATAAAATACTTTAGAAATGGAGGGTGAGTAGTTAGTGTAAACATACCTCTCAAAAGGATACATCCAACGATATTGAACTGGACCACCAACCTTTGCCTCATAAGGTAGATGAATTGGAAGATGTTCCATTGAATCAAAGAAGCTTGGTGGGAATATTTGTTCCAATTTACACAATAAGACAGGTATATTTTCTTCTATAACTCGTAAGTGTTCAA